ATGTAATTAAAAAAACATTAAGTTTATACTGTAGTATTTTAGTTAATATTAGGTTCATATATTTAGATTAAGTCATTTTTAGTGTATGTATTATTCTTTTCTTATCCAAAGCTTGTTCAAAAATGATTTTGACGGTTGTACATAGAATTTTATGATTTTTTATAATAAATACAGTAACTTGCAAATGTTGCAATAATAGTGGAATGCAAATATTAATATGTGATTGCATTTGAAATTGAAGAAAATAATAAAACTTAATCCAACTGTTTAGTTGCATCACAATATATGTCACAAACTAAAACTATCTTAAAAATATCTTTCAAGTATACATTATCAAAAACTGTTTGCGGCCCTTTTTACAATTACCAAAATGCAATGCGGCTCTCGAAAACCCATGAGTTTGACACCACTGATCTATTCTAAAAGATTCAAGCATTGCTTTGGGAAATAATATCACTTCAATAAAATTGAAAAAAATCTCGCTATATTAAATACAAAATCGTTGCTATCATAAAGGTAAACCAATTCAGCCACTCGAAATATATTGGGCTTCACAAAGCAATGCAGGCAAAATTGGGAGTTTATGAGCTATGAACATTTGTTCTTTTCTTTGTCTTGAACTTTTCATATTCCACAGCCTCTATTAATTTTTTTTAATTTTAATTACCATGTGATGGTCATACATATCTTTAACTTGTATTTTCTGTCATGATGTATTATCTCAATGTGTCATGTGTCACACTATTAATTAGTGTGGATATTTTGCTTCCAGATGACATAAATGTATTGTCTTGTTTATTACCTCTGCTTGGAGTATGGACAAGAAAAAGGTGCCAGTAAATTAGGTAAAAAAATTTTTAACTCCTTGTTATAATCAGAATTCACAATTAATAGGAATTAAAAACAGCCAACAATCAATGAGAATTATATGCAAAATCCCTCAGAATAAATTTGTCTAAAATCGGAGGAAGGCAAAACATATAAGTAGTTCCCATCCACACAAGCATTTCAAGAAGACTTGCTCGAGCCAAACTAAATGAGCATCGTCAGGTGATCGGTAAGGCTGCAAGTTGAATTCAGCCCTGCAACCTCCTGCATAGAAGATAATATTAATTAGTGGGCTATGAGCTAAATTCCTAAATTTAAACAAACCTATCTACGATGTATTATGTACCAGCAATGTTACCTACGATTAACGGAATATGTAATATGTCTAATAAATTCACCTATAAAAGCAAGTTCGATAGTGGCAAACTTTGTGTTATGGAATTGTATCACAGCACCGTTAAAAGAAGTAAAAACGTTTTTGCTGTTTTGTATGACACCCTCTTTGAATGAAACTTCAATGTTTAAGCGCAAACATTAAAATTACTAACTTTGAACCTTGTCAATATCTGCAAAATGTTCCACTCAAATCTTTCCGCTATCGCGTTTGTAATCTTCTCTGATAAAAAAACGTCTATGATGTCCAGAATTGCTTTTTACAGCTTGTCTGCCATTCCAGCTTTCCAAGTGAGCAAAACTTCTTAGATATAAAGATTATTTTCTTTCGTTACAGGCGCAAAAAGGCAGGTACTACACGGAAAAAAGACGCCGAGCAGCAAAAGCGAGCGGAAAACAGTCGCGAAAGGCGACGAGAAATATGTGCATTGGAGCGTATCATGAAATACAATCTTTCGCCTGTAGTCTTATGGAGTGACGTCAGAGTTGCCTATCATGTTGTTTAATGTCATTGGTCTGACCAAGGTCCGACTTCTTCAGACATACATTGTTCATTCATAGTCTGAAGAAGTCTGACCTTGGTCAGACGAAACGTTACAGAAATATATTTGTGTTAGTGTGCAGCAAGACTCTTGAATCACTTAGGATTGTTGTCTCTACTCTTCCTACAGCATCCTTGCAATATATGCATACGGATCCACCGGTACAAAAGCATAGAAGAAGGATAAGTAGTTAGTCTCGCAGAAACCAAATAATCAATGACGTAACAATTGTTATTTTTGCAGCCGCCTGCGTTAGTCGCCTGCGCAGGTATGTGAGTCGTTGCTCAGACAGATATTCAAGCACGGTCGTACTTGTGAACATTGCCTCGTATTGGTGCGTTATTTATCAGTTGTTTTCAAAAATGAGTTGTAAATGAAGTATTTTTATTCTCATTATGTCTTCCGATGAGCTTTTGTTCAGTTGCAATAATAAAAAAATTGATCCCAGAAAAGTTGCAATAGATTAAATTAGCTATTGATGCGTGTAAGTGGCACGCGGTTGTATATTTTCAGTAAAAATATTGGTTTGAGCATTTAAATCAGTTTGTAAGTGTCAATTCTTCAAAATACTTGCAAATTATGCATCCAAAATTTTGCTATAGTGAAGTATATAGTGTCACAGTTTGGTTTTTGCCACCACTGTGTTGAATGAATCAGAAGACTCAGATTTTGGATTTGTGGTTTATTATAAGGCAACTCCACACTCAAACCAGCATAAAACAGAGGAAACAACAAAACGCAGCCGAGCCCCAGCTTCCTTCCCCAATCAGCAGACACTTTTCTCACTCAGTCGTAACCCGTGTTAAATTTAGCAGTTTGTTCCATGGCTTACTGTAAAACAGGCTCATAAGCATCGCTCTATTCTTAAGCTATAGAAAATGTACGTGCTTATTGTGACATCACTGTTTGGTGTTAGCTTATGGATAGGATTTACATATTTATCCCGGGGGATAGGAAAGCCGATAAGACGGCTTATCCATATGGTGAACCACGGCCTCTCGTCCGGTTACCATTCCAAGTCGGGTATGGGATTATTTATATTGTTTGTTTTCAAAAGCTTGGACTTGGTGGTGGAGGAAGCCGTAACCGATCAGCGGTTACGTGAACCAACCAACGACGGCGAGGTGTCCAGCAATCATCTCGCACATAACCATCCCTGCATGGGATTCGAACCTGCAAACCCATGCAGCGTAATTAGAGGTGCGGTGGCGAGCGTATTCCTAACGCTTAGCCCGTTAGGCTACACCGCCGCGCTTTACTTAATACCACCACATGACCAAACGCAAAAGTCCAGTGAAAGAAAAATCCTAAACTGAAGTTTCATGAAAAATATATATATTGACCTGGGATCGCACTGGACGCTTGAAAGTTCTTCTTGGGGTCGTCCTGAAAAAAGCTTGGGAACCCCTGGACTAGGCTAAAGTAATTTACCGGTACTTTTAAAAAACAGATTGTTGTAGGCGATGAATCAAAATGATGGTTTGAAACACAAACCCTATTTTACAGTCGCCAACTCGCAAAAGCACTTAAAATAGCCCCGAAAATTTTGCAATTGACCTTTCCCCGACCTTCGTCCCCCGAAAAATTCTTCCTATACTTCACCATTGCAAAATTTTCGTGGCTATTTTAAGAGTGCTTTTGCGAGTTGGCGCCTGTAAAATGGGGTATGTGTTTGAAACCATCATTATGATTCATTGAATACAACAATCTGTTTTTTGAAAGTACTGGTAAAGAATTTCAGGCTAGTCTATCACAGCTATTTCTACACTATTTTTTATTATTGCAATCAAATTAAAACTCCTAGGAAGACAGAGTGATCATTGAATTATCTGATTTATATTTAAGTTTCCGACACACAACTGAAAACTAAATAATAAAGTTCAAAAACGCAAAAACGAGGTAATGTTTACAACCACACTTGAAAATCTGTCTGAGTGAGAAAAGTTTCATGAGCGGATGCGAAAAAGGGGCATTGTTACGTCACTTTTTTCATCTTGCTGATTGGCCAATGTCACGAAGTAAACAAGGAAAACGATGCTCGGGGAAAGGTCCATAGGAATAATTTTTCGGGGGTTAAAGGTCGGGGAAAAGTCCATAGTCGGGGAAGCAGTTAGTTCCGTTCCACTTCGGTGACTCCAAATTTCAACGAATCGCGGTAATTAATTTTCAAAGAAACTGTGTTAATATTGCAGCTAGTGTTATTGGTCATGCTAAATGGAACTCAATGTCTATTAATAGTAAAAAAATGTATGAGAGAAGAATTTCAGATGTCATAATGTATGTATATAGTAGAGGTGTTACCAATAGAATGGAAATTGTTATTATTGCAACCAGATTCTCATGATAGTGTAGAAAATGATATTCTTAACCCTTTTGACTTTGAAGAAATTCCTACAACAAAAGAATTGCATATAATGTATGAAAAAAAATACTGGCATGATAATTTTATTAATAAGAAAGTATTTCATATTGGTCAGAGGTACACAGACAAAGGCGACGGAAAGATCGAGGGAAACTAAGTAATGGTTCATAACAAGTGCTGTAACCTGATTTTTTATATGTACTGACGTAATTCAGAGAAATGCATCATGAAAGGCCAGAAGACTATTCAAGATCGGTACTATGACAGTGGTTATTAATAATTTTTTTGGTATTACTGTCTGTTTTGCAAGGGAAATACGCATTCAAAAATTTTTTGATTTTCCATTCATATTTTGTATGGTTGTAATTTTCCATGAAACAACTTCAAATTTCATGTAGTTTGTTTGAGAAAACCATTTTTAACTAATAGCACTAGTTTTGAGTTTTATATTTGAATAATTATTCGAACATTCCCATCCACTGAAGGTTTTTCCAAGTAGTATGTATTTTATATATGTTTATATATATGTTATTATTAATCTATTTTTGTAGGATGATTGGATTACTAGTAAAATTGTTTATACAAAAAAATCAAATACTTGTGCAGGTTGTGCTATATAGCATTCAAAATAAAATTGTAATTCATACATAACAAAATTTTGAAAAATATATAAAAGCAGTTGAAACAAACTCTTGAAAAATATAATTCAGAGTGAAATTCATTTGAAATGAACTCCAGTGTTTAACAGTAGTTTTATTTTACAAATTTCCCCTTGTGTGATTTTGTGAAAATATAAAAAAAAATTTATTTTCATCACACCAATTATCTAGTTTTCAATATTAGCTTAAACACTTATAATTGGGAACTATTTTATCATGGCAACTGTCGATGAGCTGAAGAAATTGATACAAGACACACTGGAACACAGGGGTGTACTCAATGACTTAAAGGCAAAAATTAGGTCAGAAGTCTTTAATTCTTTAGAAGACAAAACAATGAAAAAACCAGAACTCTCTAACGAAAATCTCATCATTAATGAACTTATTAGAGAATATTTCAGATTCAACAAATATAATTATGCGGAATCGGTTCTAGTTGCAGAGTCTGGACACCCAAGTGTTCCCCTCGACCGGGAGTTCTTGTCGCAAGAATTGAATGTTAGTGCAGAAGCAAAGCAACTACCATTATTGTATAGTTTAGTTAACTATTTTTCACAGCGTCACATGCATGAAGCGAATCAAAAGCAATCGGGAACATCTACACGAACGTATCAACATGAAAATCGATAATAATTGTACATGTAAAAGTCTTCACTAGCATTTTGAAATTTCTTTTTTTACAAGTGTTTCCTTCATAATATGTTATATTTTTCTATTTTTATATATACGGTATATACTGTTATTCTTGACTGGCTTGGTTTAATGAATATATTTAAATGTGATAATTTTTTGAGTGATGAAAAATATGTCAGAACATATTTATAGACATATATAGATTTTGGTGGCAATGATAATGATCATCGTTTTTGGAAAGCTTGAAGTATATATAAAATTGAACACTATTTGTATAGTGTTAAAAATGTTTGCAGAAGTTTCACAGTAGTAATTTTTTTTTATTCAAATCATTTCTATTTGTTTTTTCCAAATTATGTAGCATTCCCAGGTGCAATCAAAGACCAGCATGTTCAGAATTTTTTGTATTGCATTGTATGATAAATATATTTAGTGAAGATTTTAAACTGTTTTGTAGGATTCAGTGAGAGTTTTATCTTCAGTGGAATGTGCAAATTTCCCAAAAGAATGTTCTGCTCTAACAACTATTATTAAAAATAGAAGTCGCTTGAGTGTTGTTAATATGTACATTAGAGCTCGATATATCGGCCCGATATTGCGTGTTTGTCGATATATCATATCGGCATTAGCCGTGCAAGCGTATGGCTGCGTGCTTGAACGACTCTCGCCTCGTCAATACTGTCTTCCCAATATTTACCTCGCTTTCATTTTGTGTTGAAAAGCTGTCTCTCCTAATACCCTTTGATATATGATTAGCCATTTCATGCATGGTCATAATTGAAATGTGATTATCCGGAGTAACATTTCAAATCACGTTTTTGAGAGAGTACACAATGGGAAAATGGCAAATTTATTATAGGCAGAAAACACTAAGTCTTTTAATAGAATCGATTTGGAGATGTTGAGTTAGTGATCACAGAAACGTGACAACGTTCAGGTTCACTCAAAGCTAAAATTGATTGGGGGTCCTTATCATCGCAATACTTTCTTTCAATGGAACTCAAATAATCCATCTATTACCATGAAAAATAATTGCACTCTTGAATTTTCATGGCTGTTGCACAGTAACAATACGGTTTTCATATAATAATGTCATCGAACTAGTTCCGAATTTGTGACCTCCCTGCATGCAATTTTGAATTTCTCGGTCAACAGTTTATCCATATTAATGGTTGTTTATTATTTTGGTGAGAATTACACACAAAGAAAAATTGAATTCATTATAATTAACTAAATAAGGTATTGAAAGCGATTTTTAACTCTCAGCCTTCAACAGTTTTCAAAACACCAATTTCGGAACCTCTGAATTATTTGACCAGTTCATCTAACCGTGAGATCTCCTTTTATAACTCTGGAAACATACGTATGCAAAATATTAGCGGTATATTAAATAAATATCAAAATGAAAATACAGACTCACGAGGTACATCATAAAAGCCCATTTTGTGGCAATATGATTTATATTAATATCGGTTATCGGCCGCTAGTTGACCGATATATCGGTGCCAAAAAGTGATATCCGTCGAGCTCTAATGTACGTAGGATATTATTGAGCAATGTAGCGCCACGATTTAAAAGTGTGTGGAGGGAATGCAGTAGTGGAAAGACATTAAAGGCAATTTGCTGTATTTTGTCCTATTTTAATTGTTTTTGTTGAGTGTCTGACATGATCTGCCATAATACAGTACCCTCTTTGGCCTTGCAACTGCGGCATCTGAAATTTCGAGCTTATATCAGTAATCTTCAGCATCCTTAAACAACCTAAAATGACGTAATATAACTAAGCACACTATTATTAAAATATAAGCAAAGTCAAAGAAATTTCTATAAGGAGAAACTTTCAAAATTATACTAAATAGTATGTCGTCCCAATACATATATATTAAAATTGTGAATGAGTAAATCATTGACCAAACGAATGCCCGAAACTTTTAACCGCAAATAGTTTATACCTTGTTAAATCTTTTACCACATTTCCGTAATTTACTGCTAACTTTTTCTGATCGGCGTCTTACTTTTTTGGCCCGGTTTCTTTGCAATTCCTCGTACAATGGCTGTTCTAAATTTAGCTACACTAGATCTTGTCGTTTTTATAGATGTAATATTTTCTTGTGTGCGATTTATATTTTTCATATATATACTTCTTAAACGCTTTGTCTTTTCGTGAGCGTTCATCGAGCACTACACTGCAGGAGTTCCGAGATGATTCCCGTTAACGAATAATTACCATTTCCATGGATCGCCTACTTCAAGCCTGCGTATTGTAGGTGGACAGCATTTTGGAAGTGTCTTGTCAAATCTGGCAATTTATGTGGTTTCCACTGCAAATCTAACTCCATGATGTTGTTAATACGTTCACAATTACGTTTAGTCCACAGTTTTATTCTAATCGGCTTGATTAGAATCTTGATGGTCAGCGGTTTTATTGTTTATACTCTACACTTTATTGTTGAATGTTTTCAATGAATCAGCAAATACGACACCGTTTTCGGAAAAATAATAGGTCGTACACTTCGGATCTTTGTTATTTCTTTAAAGTGGTTCTGTAAGTTTTCTTTCAGATGTTTTGTACATAGAAATCTACTCTAAGAGAAAATCAGTGATCTATTGCATATTTCAGAAGTAAACTGGGAGTTAGACAATCTAGCACTCAAATCCGAAAAAATCGGAAGTAAATGTAAAAGCTTGCATCTAAGTGAAGATAAATTGGTCCCAGAAAAATTGGGCTACCGTCTGTGTTATTTTTATTACTTTGTAATGTTTAAAAACAATAGTATACAGTAGTGACATAGCTAGATGCTATGTTGTATGTTAGATCCACTTTTATTATCGTTTGGTCAGATGTTTCGAACTTGTTCAAAGTCCCGTGGCGAAGATGTCGAATCATTATCCAATTGCTTCATTTTGTTTGCTGTTTCGTCTGATATATTCTCACATTTTGTATTATACTATATTAAATCAATCATTTTATTTTGGTATCCTGACATAAAACAGAACAACACAAAAAATAAACAAAATGCAGAGATGCCCGGAAGGTAAGCATAACTTAAAATAAATAAAGTTAATAAACGTCTAAGTACGCGCTCACCCGCCGAAAAAAACATCAATACATGCTTACAAAAAAGTGAACACGATTCAGAATCGGACCGAACTTATAAAGCAATTTGAAATGAGAACCACACATATATAATCGCTGAAGGGTTGCGTGGACAACTTACACGGGATAAAAAAGTGTTCCACTTGAAATAAAACAGCAAAATTCAGGTCAATAAATTAAATGTAATAGAGCTCTAACGACTTCTTCCGTCTCTGATTAGTGAAAATTTACCGATATATATACATGTTCGTCTTCAATTATGGTAGTTGAGAGATCGCCAGAATTATCCAAAAATGAGTAAGTAGAAATCTAAGGTACACATCGCTTGCTTTAATAATTTATCAAATGTACAAAACATGTAAAAAACACATGGTTAAAAAGCAGCATGAAGTTTTGAATGGTGAGGAAAAAAATAAAGTGACGGTATCTGTGAATACAAAAATCAAACAAAGCATGCCAATGTTAGAAATGAATAGTGACTTTTAAGAACACAGAAAAATCAAAAATATTTCACAGAGGATTGAAGAATCACTTCCACAAGACAAGTCGCAAACGCCACATGGCCACGTCGTATTTTTGTTTTCACTTTTCGACATTTTCGATTTTATTGAATGGAATCTGTTCAAATTAAAATCCATTGTTAGTACACCCCATTTTGATTTTCACATGGTTAAATATCTTATAACTGATGATCGTTTTTGATCAATTATGCTGTGAACATCTTTATATCGGTTCCCTAAATTCATATAGGTATAATACGAAAAATATGCCTCTTGTGCCATGACTAGGGTATCGGTAATTATTTTTATCTCTCAGAATGGTGTGTACAGCGAAGAAAACGCATCTGCAATCAGCATGGGTACATCGGGCACGAGACGTTGATGATAATTAAGGAAGTGAATCCGCCTTCGATGTGAACCTTATTTTTATCAGCGACTGAGGATTCGAATTTTCGTCGCGTCCAAAATGCATCAGACTGTTTGTTTCTGCGCTCGACGATAGATAACGCTATTTTTGATATGTGACCAGTAAAAAGTTACTAATGGAAACGAGTTGTAGTTACCTTTCACCCATTGACGGTTTGAAAGGTTCCGTTCTGAGAAAAAAAACGCCACTGGTAATTACCAATAGGCAATACCATCAAAAATGTTTATCCACCATAACTCTATATTTCATTTGCTGTCTGATTCTACAAGTGTACTATCATCCCTGTTTCCACGAAATATTCAATGATATTTTGCCAATTTAATGGACGAACATATTTACTGATAACGCTGAGTTAGACATTAGTCTACACCAGCGTTTCCCAAACTGTGTTCCGCGGAACGTCTTCGAGTGTTCCGTGGAAAAGGAATCAAAAATACATCTAAATTAGCCGCCATGGCGATCTAGGGACCGTGAAGTTGTCGCCCAACTGACCGTTCAATTCCGCGTCATTGTCAAAAGCGGACTAACTAATGTAGATTAGTGGTATTTTTGTTAACCGTCGGCCTAGCTTTTTGACCGTTAAGTTCATTATCAAGTTTACAGCAATCCCTTTGGTTTTGCTATAGGCAAACAAGTAGGTCTAAAGAATAAAGGTACCTCTTCTTCCTCCATCTCTGCCTGGTTTTACTTTGAAATGCTGCAAAAATTACTCATGTTCGCTAAATTCGGTTCAGCAGATAAATAAACGTAACATTACAGGCAAACACTACCTGATAGAAAGTAAACGACATAGAAAAGTAAAATGAATTTATTGATTCATAAACACAGCATTTAAACTAAGAAACAATAGAAAATTTACAATGAATGCAATATGTAATATATTCAATCATATTTAAGGTATGCTCTCAACACAATTCTGTTAGTTTTCGCATTTGACAACTCGCCACGGCAAATCCATTGGGAACCGCTAAATTACACCGTTTTTCTTTATCAATTTTATACCCGTTCATTTTTTTGTGTTCCGCGAGGCGAGATAAAATTGTAAGTGTTAAAGTTTGGGAAACGCTGGTCTACACTGGTATAGTGAATAATGATAACAGCATGCTATGATTTACTCGATTCCATTAATATAATAATGCATAGGCCTACCATATCACCATACGATTCAGGGAACAAATATAGGGTGAATATTTTGCGTATGTTATATATTGTCCACCGCATGTAAATTATTTTTATATTTATTCCGGGGTAATCATGTGGCGAGCCATGCCTCTCGTCCGGTTGCCGGTTCATGTCGGGCATGGGGTGGAGGAGAGAGAGGGAGATTTCATTAAACAACACAACACTAACCGGCGTACTCCTGAGGTATGCGCACCAAGATGTCGCATAACCTGAACCCTAACCTGGTACACAACCGGAGTTATGCGCCATCTCGGTGCGCATACTTCAGGAGGTCCCAATGATGAATATAAAAGCCACAGTTTCGGATAATATTGTCCTGTGTGGGTTTGCAAAATCGACGAAGATTGTGAAGGTCCTAAAAACTATGGATATCATTTTATTGAATTATATTATAGGACAAAAATCATAGTAACACAGCTTCTGTGTCAATAGATGTTAAAAATATCCCCCAGGTTCAAGTATTCAATACATAATGATTAAAGCAGAAGAACCACTCATTATGCACTGTATTATTTAAGAGCGGGTAGGCTACAGTGTTTCTGTTTCCATGTGTTTTGCGCAGTTTCCCTCTGTTTTGTGCTGTACGGCAGGGGAGTGCAACCTTTTTCACTGGCGTGCCAAATTCAAGAAACTGAGTAAAGCCGCGGGCCGCACCTTTATTTATTATAGATTTTCTAGTAGTTACAAGCACAAAAATTGTTTATATTTTCTATAGTCACCTTATGTCATTATTAGGGTTTCTTGCAGAAATAGTGAGTTAAACGTATAAACTTCTGAAGAAACTGCTATTTAAATTTATCGCCACACCGACTTTAATGCAAGTCAGTGAGAAACACGTTTTTGTAATATATATTGTATATTTTGCAAGAAAACTTTGCTAGCTAGTTTTGCTAATACAACAGTGGCACTCAGGCACTGGTATAGGCTTTGTGGCGCAGAAGGATTAGAATTTCTCGCACGTACCATATTACCTAACCTAAATGCTCGTTTCACGGGCACGCCATTCAAAGTTGTTATTTCTCCGCGGACCGCACAAATTTTTCTTGCGGGCCGCATTTGGCCCGCGGGCCGCAGTTTGCACACCCCTGCTGTACGGTATCCTTCTGTTTCCCTCTGTTCCGCACTGTTTCCCTCTGTTCTGCGCTGTTCACCTCTGTTTTGCGCTCTTTGCAGCGTTTCGCGCGGTACCGTACCTGTATCCATCAAAGTGAATTATAGTCTCTTTGGTATTCAGTAAGTTGTGAGACCATCGGTTAGCTAAGGTCAGAAGGTAGGTTAGGACAGTAGGCCTACTGCAGTAGGAAAAAATGACTAGCCAAACTTTATATACGGTACCGGTACTGATATACATAATATACCGGTACTGGTTTTACTCCAAGAATAATAGGGTACCGAACCAGTTTCCTGCTTTCAGGCTTTGCATGTTACAGTACAGCAGTACAGGTAACTTTTGATACTTTCAAGAATTAAGGTGTACCGGTACCGTATTACCGTACCGGTACCGGGTACCAGTATCTGATATCTGTGAACGCAGCAGTAGTTACACCTGTACACGGTGTATGAAAAAAATCATTCGTTACATTGTTTATTTGGTTCTATTTCGTTATGCAATACAGCAATAGGTTACCTAACTTGGGTGTATTTACATTTTTGTAGCCTGGGCATGCATGTTATGAATCAAATAGTCTGATTGAAGGCCCGGATTTGACATGCGATTCTTAATACAGTAATACCACAAAACGGAGCAGTTAAGGAATTAAAAAAATTCATGAAATGGCTTTTACAACATCTGATCTACTTCGACTTCCGTTGCTTGTATTTTTTGATGCAATTGTGGCAAATAGAATCAACCTTTGGAGTTTTGGATTTATTGCTGGATATGCACTCTCTTGCATCGGTGAGTTTAGTGCTTAATATGGTGAATAAACAAGCCGTCATGTCAGTATGCATTTCATGCTTATAATATTACCTGTAAAAACTTATTCTATTATAAACAGTGAACCGTCGTGTTTTGGTATGAGATTGGACTGTTTCAACTTTGTTTTTACTATGATTGTGTATAATAAGGCCAAGAGCATGCCTTTCAACACCAGTTACAATAACTGAGCGAACAGCTTTTATACGGTTTATAAGTCCACATATTTCCACTCTTCAGGACTAATTACCATAACTCATATTAGTGTATCAGTATCAACTTTGTCAGTTCTGTAGTTTGTAATCCACTAGAATCGATTTGGAGTATCCATTGCTTCTCCGATACCATAAAGCAACATTTTCTAAGTTGTTTTACACATGTTCACAGGTTTATGCATCAGTATTGGAATATTCACCTGTCAACCTCCAATTATAATCAAATTCTACAGATTGACTGCTGCAATTTTGGTTCATTGTGTAGTACTGGGATGGAATTATTCAGTGACAAGACTAATTCACCATGATTATTATTTCAATAATGATTACAACAATTCAGCAATGAGCCAAATCAACGATTATATATGGAATGGAAAAGAATTACAATTTAGAGAGGTTGGAATATTTCGTATTTCTAATCAGTTTTGGCATAGGCACATCCAAAAAATTCAATTTCTATTTGAAAATTGCTGATATTTGAAGAACAATTTTAAAATAAATCCAGATATGGTAATTTTCCTATTGAATGTTTTATTATATTCAATTGTGGTTTGAGAAAATTTAGTTTTTATTATTATTTACCCAGTGAAGTATTTATTCCAAACATGAATGTTAATTTAAACAAATTTTTTGTACAAGTTTTCTTACAATGTGGTGATTAACACCAATGGAAAAGCTGCAAGCGAATACTACCATGCTTAATGCTATATAGGCTATAGTGGTATTTTATCCATGTAACAGAGTTAGAGAGATGTCAGTAGAAAACAGGTGAAACGAGAGATGAGGCTGAAACAATTTGAGACAAAAGTGCAAAAACTACAGCTAGGTATAAAAAAAACTTACAAACAAGCAGTAATCTTTCATCGATGAATTGAAGAAAAAAAATTGCTTCAAGTAACATTTTACATTCTGAATGAATCTTTTAAAAAATTAAATTTTAATAATTGTTTATACACAGATTGACTTCACTGCAAAAGCATTAGTTTGCTTTGGGGCTTTGCAAATATTTTGCTGGATTAACCTCATGCTTTTGGAACGTCCAATATCATCAAGTACAATGCTGATCACTACATGCCCTGCCTATGCATTGATGTTGAATATATCAAGCCATACACTTTCATTTCTCATATTTCTATCAAGTGTACCTGTGTTTTTAATATGTTTGGAAAAACTCAAAGAAATTTATGCTGGGGCAAGCCACATAAGATTGCCAAGATTTGAAGGGGGGCAGTTGAATATTGATGATGCTTTTACTTCAATCAACACAACATGGGTCATATGCAGAGTGCCTACTGTTCTTAGACTCTATTTTGTTCTAAAATGTGTATGGGCATTTGTAATTTTAAGTGGTACCAACAGGACATTTGAAACAGAAATATATTCTGGAACCAAAAGAAGCGGACTTTATTATTATTTTGTACCGTCACCAGCGGTATCAAAGTCATCAAAAGAATACTGGGAGGATTGGGATGGTATTGGAGGATATTTCCCTCAGGATTTGAAAGAAAGAAATTTATCTCTGATTGAAGGAATGTCCGCCCTTCTAACAGATTCCCTAATATCATCATTTTCTGTCGGAGCTGCTATTTCTGTTATCGGACATTATTCTGGTGTGGGCTTGCATGATTTTGTTGGCGGAAATGACATCATGCAAGGAGAAGCGTTGGGAATGATGTCCTCAGTTCTTTTTTGCTTACTCGCCATTCAAACTGGATTAAGTAGTCTTCCACCATGGAAGCGAATAGTCAGACTCTACAGGAATTCATTTTTACTTTTTACTGCGGTTCTTCATTTTTTTCTTGACGTCGTCCATCCTGTTTTGATGTCAATTAGTCCACAAGCACATATCCCTTTCAAAAAACATATAAGACCACTGTTGATATGCCTCGTTCTGTTTTTTGTGCCAAGTGCAATGTGCTATTGGCTTATCACAACAAGGCCATTGTCAACATGGATGATTGCACTTACAGCCTTTAATTTTGAACTTGTAATAAAGGTAAGTAAATCTTATCAAAGTAGCTTCCGTTACTTACAGTGATTTGTTATACTAGGTGTTAGTGGGAGATAAACAATAACTTTGCTCATGCTCGAGAAAACAATTAATGATATATATTTATTACAAGTAATATATCATGTTCCATCATGACAAACAAAATATTTGAGTCCTCACTGAAGATGTTACAAGAATATAAAAAATTATGATTTCTCAATTATTGCTACATGATATCCCCTTTCAAAATTGAAATTGCTATCCTTCACTTCATATATTGCCTTTCGTACATAACAATTTAATGTGGAGTAAAAAATTTATGTATATGTCCACGTATAGAGCATTCATAATATATAATAATTTTAAGGTGGAATTCCGAAATATGATGTAGACACTCTCAATCTTGCCACGATGATCCATCTACGAACCTAAACGCTGCTCTTACACTGTTTATATATATTTCCAGGTTATATCAACATTATTAGTATACAGTCTTTATGTCTTGGATTCAAGGTCGCAAACCAATGGAATTATATATTTGGATGAATATGTATTTTGGATTCGTTCCATAAGTCATGTTATCGAATTCATTTGTGGACTCGTCATGTTTATTAATGGAGCTTATATATTGTTTTTTGAATCCAGTAACTTGCTGCGGGCAATCATGATGTCTATGCATGCATATATCAACATATACAGGTAAGAGATATTTCAAATCAAAATAATGTTTATATTCCATATCCAAGCTGCTGATTGTAAAGTAATGTCATATTACAAGGGATACAGAGAGTTGTTTTAAAAATGAGTCAGATTCCCACCTACTGAGAAAATATGACTCCAATATCAATATAAACTTAACAAACTTGCTTGTTACGGTTTATAAGGCAATAGCATGTTTCAGTAAAAGATCCCCTGTTTTGTAACTAACTTATTTCTGCATGTTCTGCACCTCTGGAAAACGGTGCCTGTGAATAAACCATCATTGGCATAATTTATTGATTCCCTGTTCTGGATGGGACAATAACAAGTTTATGGTAGCGTTATTGAATTTTTTTAACGTCAGCTTGCACCACAAATTTGTGAATATGCGTAATGTACATTTGAAAGCAAAAAATCTCTATTTCTATTGGCGGATACTGATACTGTATGCATGCTGTGCTTCTAGTTGAATATTTTGTATATATTTAGGACATTTCGCGAAGGTCTGAAAACGTTAAACAATCGTAGGACGGTAAATAATAAAATTGCATCAATGTCACTGGTTCAAGTTGAGGAAATTGAGGAAAAAGATAGAGATGTTTGTAGCATATGCTATCAAGAATTTATTGCAGGTCAGAATTCTAACATTGCTATTTTTTTCAAGATCACTGCCTATGTTTAAGTATAATAACCTCTAATTTTGTTGAAATACCTACAATAATCAAAGATTTATACGACATATTACTGTCTCAATCTTGTCATTCATTTCCAAATGGAACATGCTACCTATTGCATAGGTGATTACATGCATGGCTCAACATTATTGAGTCGCCTCGAGTCGCCATTTTGAGTCATATCAATAAAATGTCTTAGACTCATTATCAACAAACAGCTTGTGAGACTTAAGTCGGTGATTAAATCGAGTCATCGACTCACTACTCGAATGACCTGTGACTTATACCTAACACTGTCAAAAGGGTTGTCTTTAAAACTTTTCACTCCCTCAAGATTTACATGAAAAATATACTCTGGGCCTATAAAACTAATTGGAAACAAAATCCAAAATGAATCGGTTAGATATGTACAATATTACGGAATTTGACTTTGACTGTGCCTGTCAATAGCTGCACCTACCCCCCACTATGGGAATCATTCAATGCATTACGGACTACAAATGACTAATGGAACTTGAAGTGGATTGTTATTCATACAATTGTGCTACATTAACCAGAGGATTTATTCGATTAGCTCAAGCGATTTTCTAAATTGTGGGTGTTGCTGCAATTTACTCCAGATTTATCTTTTCTCTTCATATTTCCGACTTTCTTTCCCTTTTACAGATAATGGTGAAGTAAGAAAGACTCATTGCAATCACATGTTTCATTCGCAATGCATTCGAAAGTGGATATTTATTCAAGATTCATGCCCAATGTGTGATAGAGCATTGTTTCCCACTGACAATAAACAGGATTAATAATGAACTAGAAATTTGACTTCTGGTTTTGATAGTTTCCAGATATAAAATTTTCACTAATTTTTCACATCTTTATTCAGAAATGTTGCTTTTTATGATTTGACAAATAAATTCTGAAAGATTATAATTTGATCAAGTAACTCTCTTTGCTGTCAAGAAATTAATGTTGTTAAAACTAGAGAGCATATATGTAATGCTCACATGCACATGTCCAAATTTCACTGAGATCTCCCGATGACGTTGGATATTGGGATATTAGAATTTGTATTATGAATTCAAAAACGTACTAGGACGGGCTCACCAACCAACAAAAACCATGCACAAAAGAGTGAACGCAATGTACCTTTAGCAATATTTTTTAAACAGTGAGTTAAAATGAGAGGTTCACAATCTATCCCGATAAATATATCATGTTCAAGAAATGCACCTAACATCGATATAAAAAAAACACTAGTAAAACGAACATGTAAACGTTGCAGTGCAATTAGAAAAGCTGTGGAGTAAGCGTTTAAATAAATTTTTAGTTATCATCGTTGTGGAACACTTAAACACCCACAATTGCAAACAAATGGCTAAAACCACATACCGGTGGTCACGAAAAAATTATTTCGGGCCCCTCGTCATTATATATAGCAAAGTTTAGATATATGAAAAAGGGCTTGGGGATTTCTGTTTTAGCGTGTCGCTACTTTTCGGCCATGTTTCTCAAATGACCAACCGTGTTAGCAAATTTGTCATGTGTATTCTTCTTGTAATATGTACTGATTTCATAGTAACGTCACGTCCATACTTTGTCAGTTGATAATCTAGAATGCTTTATCGCGTTCACTATGCAAATGATAATACTTACCAACGACTAACTACTTACGTACCGTATATACAATTTATAAAACAAGCTTTGTAATAGCGATCTATGTTATGATCAAACCTCAATATGATATAACAGGCAAAGGTTTCAAGTATTCACACATATTTCAAGGTGGGTTAATGTGGGAAATAGTAGTGATTTCTACTGTTTTCGAATTGAAAGAAAGTAAGATTTTTATGGTGCTTTCATTCAGTTATGCAGAATTTTGTAGATGATACAAAGACACTGATAAATAATTTTACTATCCTAATCATGTTAGACTTATGCAAGTATGAATAGTTTTATCTGATGCTGTGGCTCTGGGCTACATAAATTACTAACATTGTTTTGCTAGCCCTTTCGATTGCTAACGATTTTACTTTTCCACATTACAAAAATTTTACAAACAAAGAAGAGAGCATTGAGTGACAGTTTTTTAATCCAATCAGCAACAAGTTCTAGCTAGTCTGTCGCCTGTTTTATGATGAAAATCTGAAGCAAATTAGTTGTTGAATACCTCGGAAATTCAAATTTCGACTCATTGGAGCTTCTGTACAGTGAACATCATTTCGAGGATTGGAGGGCATAACATGGCAATGCCATCGTACTTGGAAGCGTTTAATTGCCACGTTTTATTTTATGGTAAAACACGTTTTTAAAATTCAACTATAGCCTAATGTGTCAAATTAATTACTGACTTTGTCTTAATTGGCTTCTAACTCTCAACTTGGAGATTGAAGAAATGCAGAAATATGAAACCCCATCCATTCTGCACGTATTTTTCAACAATGGTCGCTCATGGTTTCAACAATCGAACAATAGCCTGCTGTTCAGGATGTTTGTGTATACAGTACGCGAGCGTTATTATCGTTGCAGCAGTACATACGCATTGCGTCGTTCAAGACGTTGGGCCGTCTCGTTTTCTGCATTATCGGTATGCCTTCGTTGGATAGAAATGGGATCTGGGGCGAGCCCACTTCAACATTGGATTGGTGTGAGGAGAACTACGTTGTTACGCCGTACATTGCAGAATTTTGTAAGTTTTGTCATCTTTGTAAACTACCACATATGCTAGTTTTTCATTCCTGCATCAGCAGATCAGTGCATATTTCATCACTATTTCTTTCTACCCATGAATACTTGCTTATTTCTGTATTTAAACATGCATCCATTCTGTAGCATTTATATTTTAAGCAGTTCGTTCTGCAGTTCTATACATCCATATGTCAGTATGTCCAATGGAAATGATATGTGCATTGAAAGTCTGAAGGTGCATACATTGGTGGATTTGTCTTATAATCCTTAAATAGAGGAACCCAAATATCTGTGCCATGGGCTGATTGGTATGAATGTCTACTAATGCACATCTACATCAAACCTATCTAAAATTCATTCCTGCAGGGAATACTGTGAGCAACATTGTAATGATAGTTCCCCCTCTTTTGTGTGGGCTTCATTACAGAAGAATTGGGATGGAGTTGAGATATGTCTACTTGAACATGGCACTTCTAGGTAAGATTATATTATAACTGATAACTCATTTGAATAAAAATTATATTCAAAATCTAAAAATAAAAAAAATAAAAAACCTATCACTGATTCTAACATTTTTAGATTTTGTTTATCTTTTATTGACACAGGCATGAGACATTATTTTCATTGTTATCAATAGTTTGATTATTGAGTTGACTTGACTCAATTTTTTGCTTGGTCTATTCATTATAGTATTATCTTTCATTTATTATGAGGAGAACTTAATTGCATGCTATGGGATGTACATTTCTCTTAGGCTCTGTGTTGCTTGTTATTGTTAATGAATGAACTCGCTCCTAAATAGCCTCAAATTTGGCCCGTCTTGTATTTGGCAAACAGTTCTGTTCTATCACCGAAAGATGGCAAAAATTGTATTGTAGTTTAGAGCCGATGTATATTTCTGTAAACTTTCAACATTTGAAATTAATTCATTCTTCTAACTAAATTGTGTATTGTAGTTGACGATCAGTTTTTCCCAAGTATCATTTACTATAGTTGATTTTGTATATGATCACCTGTAACGTATATCTGTATATTGGTAATAGCATTATTTATTTCATTCTTTTGAATATTTGCATATCTTGTTTATTCAGTTGTTGGAGTTGGATCCTGGTTGTTTCATATGACGCTCAAGTATGAAATGCAAGTAAGGTTTTTGTTGCAATATTGATATTATTCTATTTGTAATATGCAGAAACAATTAGAGCAATTTAATTTATTCAGTAGATTTCTGTACCTGTACTGAATTATGATTTGCCAGATGAGTTTTCAATACTGATTAGACATATTTTATGTATATCTAAATTCTAAAACAACTTTTTATGTTAAATAATCTGAAATACACTTTTTAATGCTTATAAGTTCTACTGATAATTTTGCATGTTTAAGAAGGTAGGCAGAAAGTAGTGTGAGAGATTTCTGATTGCCTCGTCGATTTGTATAGTGTAGCATCGGGGTTAGGTGGCAAGTGTTTCCACTTTTTCTTACACTTCAACTGCGTTTTTAAGCCGCGCAATATCAGATCTTTTTGCAATTGCCTGTAAAAGACATTTTTAATAAGAATGCACCTTAAAACCAATTATACTGGTTGAGAAGGGAAACTTGAAGCAGCAAGCTGTCATATATATGAAGCTCTAGGAGGTTAGTAAGCTCAGGTATTTGTTTGTAGATAGATACCAGTAGTGCAGTCGTAATGTTGCAGTGATGTGCTTTGAGGACATAGCAGTGCATGTTATATGTGTTTACAGCATACCTTAGGTAGTTAAGGCTATTTATATACCGGTAATGCATTACAGCATGGCATAAAATAAAGGTCAATCTTTATTTCATAGTAATTTGATCTTCAAATTTTTTTTACGTGTGAATTTCAAATGACTCATGTTTCATACTATTAAACTAATCCAAATCTTTTCTATTCACAGCTTCTGGATGAGCTTCCAATGATTTATGGAACTGCACTTTTAATCTACACACTGTAAGTAACATATCTTAAGTTCTTAGCTATACACCAGTTGCTAATATACTATAATTTGTATTTACAGACATCACACTACATCAAACTCAAAATATTCTTCAAATTCTGATATTGTTATTCCAGTTTCTTATTGTCTGACTGCTTCAGTTGTATATGTAACAATGAGGAATCCAATTTTGCACCAGGTGTGTATATACAATAGTCAGAATGTCATTTGTAGTCTTTAATTAAAAAATATCAATTGGAGACCATAGTTTGAATAGTAATCAGTTGAGTTTTAAATTGTGTGTGAATTGCGATTTACAATTGAAATAGAAATTTAATAGAAGTATTTAGAGCCCTCGAATTTTGTTTTAAAGTTTGGTCAATTTCAAATTGAAGTTTTGCAAATTGTATATCCTTTGCTTACATTTTCCAAGACTTTATGCACAATTGATTCATCAACTCAGTACTCACATTTGTATTTGGTGGTATGGTGGTAAGTGCACTTCAATTTTGTGCAGCAAATAATTTCTGAAGCTGCATATTTTTCTTCCAGACTTTTTATGGATTACTTGTGTTTTTATTAATTGGCAAATCTGTACAAACTTGTAATCAGCAACCGAGAATAATTCCATATGCAGCTATCTCATTTTGTTTATATTTAATTGGATTCATACTATGGAATGTTGACAATATTTGTTGCAATTCTGTAAGGTATTTATGTGTTTTGAATGCTTCCATTTTGTTTTAACTAGCTTTACCTACAAAAGTTGCTCTCCATCAATTTTTGAATATAATATGAGTTGACTTGTTTAATCGATGGAATTCTGGAACTGAATGAATGATCAATTTGCTCTCTTGAAATAATTTTTGTTGCATTCATTCAACCCTATTTTTCTTTCACCTACTAATTTGTGAGCGTATAAATTTGGTTGTACATTGCTGTATTGTGATAGTATTGCAATATATACTGGCAAAGTAATTGTCTCAAACATGGTGTTTCAGGCTCATGAGGTACAATGTTGATCCTGGGTATGAGCCTGTTACACAATTACATGCTTGGTGGCATTTGTTTTCTGGAGCAGCCACTTCGTTGCAAATTGTGTTTTGTGCTTATGCGAGAGCTTTGCATTGCAAGAAAAAATGTTCAGTCGAGGTAAGACACTGATCATTCGGAACGTGTTTATGTTAATATAAAAATAAGTTTTTGGTTAATAGTATCATTTAATAAGTGTATGCCTGGAACTGGTATTCCGGTACTTCTTATCAGATTAAATTTTCTAAAGTAACTTACCAACATGTTCTCCTCACAGAACTGATTCTTTCTCGGGCCAATATTTTCTGGGTGCCCATGTTAATGCTGGTTGAGCCAAGATTTTGATCTATATTCCTCTAATATTGCTTATGCTTTGTAACATCTACAGCCTTATCAAAGTAACGAGCTAGGATTAAAAATGTCAGGCTACATGATATCGTTCTTAGCTTAGAGATAATCAGTGAAAAGTTGCATATTTGATTAAAACTTTGATGTGCGACCTGACTAAAGATTTTTTATTTTAATTTTTGTCTTTCCATATAACCAGTGGTGGGATTCAGCTGGTTCGCACCGGTTTTATAGAACCGTCTCACGGAATTTTCAGGAGATCAGCGAACCGGTTAGCATTACTGGTTACTGTCAATGACTTTTTGTAACAGAACCGGGTAAAAAATATGACTTTTCTGAGGGAACCGGCTGACTAAAAAATTGAATCCCACCACTGCATATAACCTCTAGCATTTGGGTCATTGGGTGGTAGATAGTTCCCTTTTTTATTTGATTTTGGTGACTTCAGGTTTGGTGCTAAATTAAAAATTCTCTCATGGAAAGAATTTCACTAAAATATTAGAAATAAAGAGTCGCTCTATTTTTAACTTTGCAGATGTGGTATTACTGCTGGCCTTATTTAAGAATGCGTGAAGAATTGTGATGTGAAATGATAAATGATAAACTCTTTCAGCATATTTCTTCAAGAAGATTAATGGATACACACTAATATTGCTAATCCAATGTACATTCAGTACTAATGCAGCATCGTTTTTTTTATTGATTAGATTTCTTCAATGAGAAGTGCGCTTATTTTTACAATTATTCTATTTCGACATTACTTTGTTTTTGGCTGAATTCGTCCAGATGTAATATTCTATGTGCTGTGCTATGCTTGGTCAATTTTTTTAATAACATATATGATAATGGTTCGAAAGTTACAGTATAATGAATTCAGGATTCTAATACACAAATATTTATGCATCTGTTGTAGTTGCAGTGTTCCGTTAGGTCCGTTTGATTACCTCCTGTTAAATAGAAGATCATTTTATGTGACTATAACCATACCCAAGACTATGTGCTCGAAGTCGAAGGGGATGAGAACCCTTGGCCGCAGCAGCATGCGTGCACCATGCTGGTCGGTAATGATAGGATAGAATTTACATATTTATCCTGGGGGAGAGGAAAGTCGATAAGACGGCGTATCCATATGGCGAACCACGGCCCCGTTACCGGTACCATTGCATGTCGGGTACGGGCTTAGTTAGCTACTTGTTTTCGGAAGCATGGACTTGATAGAGGAGGAAGCCGTACCCGACCAGCGCTCACGTGAACCACGCAACAGCGGCGAGGAGTCCAGCAATCCTCTCGCACATAACTATCCCCACGTAGGATTAGGACCTGCGAATAAACGCAGAGTAGTCAGAGGTGCGGTGGCGAGCATATTCCTAACGCTTAGCACGATGAGCCGCGGAGGTGATGGCCTCCGACAAGCGAGTCCATATGCGTCTAGAACAGTGGTTCTCAACCTTTTTCTTTCATGGCCCATTTTTGTTGTCCATAAATTCTTGTGACTCGATAACTTTTTATTGCAAGGGGAAAAGTACAAGAAAAATCGAGATTATTTTGCGAAAGTGGACATTTTCACTTTAATATTTAACATAAATAAAACTAGCAATTTTCAATAGTTCTGTGGCCCCACCTCTATCTTTCTGTGGGCCATGACCCACCGGTTGAGAATCAGCGATCGAAAACAATATCTGGTTATTTATCACCACGAGACCCCCAGAACATGACATGACTAGGCGTGGGGTCTTGGTCCCCATGGGTTAAAAGTTGTATGAAATTGTGTCGTTATGCAACATGGACAATGAATCGCTCAAACCGAAACCTGTGGCCGACATTTTTCTTCAGACTGATGTTAGAAATAATTTTGGTGTTGCCTTCAATTGAAATATAAATACGCTTTGAGGACTCCCCCAGAACATAGTTCATGAAAACTGGTCGTTGTGAACGATAGGGCTATTAGCCTCGTTTGTCACTCAAGCCTCGAATTGAGTTGGAAATTCCGTGCCCGAATATGGAAAGATTAATGTAACAGAGGGGGAAATCTCCATCAGTCTATCAAATCTCGAGGTTCATGTGCCCACGCACACCATTTCTGAAATATGAAAAGGACATGTACAAGCGTGAAAAAATGATATATACTATAAACATATATAATAATATGAAACTCCGGTTATCGTGAGTTTGCCTAAGTGCTCTTTATTCGTTATACTTAATTTTTGCAGCTGCTCGATGAATTGCCGATGATATACACTGGATGTGCCTTCACGTATGCAATGTTAGTGTTCCTGATATTATTTTATCCTGATTAGGAACAGATTAATAGAGAAACCGGATTTCGACAAATATTTATTTCCTAGTGTATTGTTTACATTAATATGTATTTTCATCAACCAGAGCTGAAAAAATGTTTCAACTAGAAAATGTTTCTGGTGTTGTCGTAATTGTAACTGTGTATTCTGAATTAAAAGCTTTTGGTGCAGAAACTTGAAATCGCCAAAGAATCATTGTAATCAGACGTTGCCATAAAAAAGTTCATTTTTCGAAGTCACATATTCATTCCATTTAAGAGCTTATTTTAAACCTTTTTGTTACTTACAGCACCTGTCATGATGTACCAGCAAATGATGATTCCGCAAGCAAGTATGTGATTTCGTTATATGCCGTATTAGTCACTGTTCTATATTTATTTTGCCAGAATCCGGTGTTTCATCAGGTAATTATTAGATTTGTATGTCATATTCATATGCATTTTTCAAGCCTATTTGATTGGCAGTACGAAAAAATTCGAGAATCTTCTGTTTGAATTCAGGTTGCTTATGGGATCCTGGTTTTTAAACTTGTGTTCGACGGCTGGAAAATAAGCAAAAAATGTTCCGAACTTCGATCTATTCATTTGCTGACAATGTTTTGTTACGGTCTAGGATTCACATTATGGAATATTGACAATTTGTTCTGCCAGAGTTTACGGCGAGTAAATCTGTTCTTGTGCCCAAGTATCATTTTTATGTTCTAATTTTCTCTTTCCACGCGGAATATATCGTCAATATTATAAGTTATGCTTTATCACTGCAGGGAAACGCGAGGACGCATCAGTATAGGTCCAGTTTTGCAACTTCATTCGTGGTGGCATTTCTTCACTGCTTATGGGACTTATCTTCATATCGTTCTTTCTACTTGTGCAAGGCAGCGGTATCTCAAACGTAACTTCTCAGTCAAGGTAGGACAGCAAACAGAATATAATGTCCTTTCAGGGGTTAGAGTCATTTTCGTGTATTGAATAACATCATTAACTTTTTTTATTCCAGATGTTCGGTTTTCATCCGTATGTTCAACTAGACTAAGGAAATTCAATCGCGTGCTTGTTGTATGTAACTCACCCCTTCTTGTGCTTTTGTGAATAGGGTAAATTTGCTTGAATTCTTGGCATTCCATCATATTGTTGTGCCCTTGAGACTTTACCTTAAAGGACAAGATTTATTGGTTACAGCGTGACAATTGTGTTGGTGAAATCATCGATTTATCCAACTAAGGTCCAAGTTGCTAATTCAAATAAAGTTCAAGTTGTCAACTTTTGTTCAATTTATCAAAAACTATGATTTGACGTAGGATTTTGTAAAAATCATACTCTGTTACATCGTAATGTCTCGTGCAATAGTATCGTTTGGTTCTCCAAAATTTCCCACATGCTAAATTACTTTGCAGGCCAACCCATCCCATACTTATCAGCGGCACATTGCATTTGTCAACTAGCTATGCGTATTTCAAAATATTACTATTAAACGGGGGAAATTACAAAGATAATAAAAACTTTCGTCAGATTTGTCTAAGCCTAAGGACCAATAAGGGACACGTCAAATGCGTGTATTTCATGCAGTCGCCAATAACGCGTTCGGTTTTCGCGAAAGGACTTCAAAAAATATTGAAATTCATGCCCATATACAAATTGAAGAAACGATATCGTGCACACTGATATATATGTGGGTTAACAGTCAGTAAATGAACTGATTAAAAATAAATGTCATCCTACTTTTGGCCCACCCTGTATAGCGAAGATAAGTATCATACATTTAATTTTGGAGGACCGCGACAAATAAAAAAAATGCCATCCTAACGTTTAATTTTAGGCACGACTTTTGCTTAGGTACCAACGCAAACGATACCATAAGCACCGAAGATGAAGAACAGGGTTAATGTCGCACGAGATTTGGCCTCTCATCTATCGTGGGTTTTAAACGAGCGCATTAAAATTACCGCCACGAAATTATTCGAATCATGATGAAATATTTTATGATCATTGTAATGTATGCTCGGTCAATTTTCTATTCTTTTAAAATATATTTTCGGCCTTCGGATTTTAGTTGGGGTAGAAGCGTTATAAATTAACTTAGTCGCAACTTTACTGCGTTTGAAGTAGTTATTGTGGCATGACATTTACTCTGCGTTGGTTCGAATCCCGTGGGGTATGATTAATTATGTGCAAGAGTATTGCGGGACTCCTCGTCGCCGTAGGGTGGTCCACGTAACCGCTAGTCGGTTACGGCTTCTTCAACCATCAAACCCATGCATCTGAAAACAAATAACTGGCCAACTCATCACATACCCGACATGGACTGGTAACCGGACGAGAGGCCATGGTTCGCTATAATGATTATGCCGTCCTGTCAGCTTTACCCTTCCGGGGATAAATACGCAAATCTTATATTCCGGTACACAAATAATTACCGGGACCTGATTCTTGGATCGATGAAGCATGAAATGCATAAAACAGGTTGAAATCCAGGGTAATTCTATGGCATGATACCTTAACCGAACATTACATCAAACCGACGAGAAAAATAATAAAATACGAGTATATATTAACTCTTCAAAGCCATAAGTAATTCGGATTTGTTTTCCATTCTGAGTAAGCTCTGGAACTTTATATAATGACGTCTTCTGCCAAGTCTACCAGTGCCATGAACAAGTTGCAGATTGCGACGATTCAAGCAAAAAAAAAATTTTTTGAAACAAAAAGAAATCAATGAAGGAATGTTTTAAATTCGGGCAAAGCGAATAGACATATCGATTGTGCAAAAGTATCTACCAAAATGAAATTAAGCATCTATCAGGAATGTAAATACCAATGAAAGGACGACATATTATTTGAAAATTGACAGATTAGTAAACGTTATTTTGATTCTATGTGGGATGAATATCATCTAAGTTAGTCTAAAGCTATGATATTTTCAGATCAAAAATTATGTATGTATGTCTGAAGAAGTCTGACCTTGGTCAGACGAAACGTTACAGAAATATATTTGTGTTAGTGGGTGTGGGTGTGTGTGTGGCTGGTGGGTGCATGTGAGCGTGTGTGAAATAACCTAATAATTTTAGGTGAGTAAACACGTACCACTTCCTCTCGGCAAAACCTTCCATCTTATATTTTGTACGTTATAAACCTTATCTAAGGTTTTGTTTGCTCCCCTGATTTCATAATCAGTTTTTATTTATTTGTTTTTATCTGTCAAATGTATTGTTATGCTGATTATGGAGTCGAAATAAACTTATACTTATATACTTATACTTATAGTGTGCAGCAAGACTCTTGAATCACTTAGGATAGTTATCTTTACTCTTGCTACAGCATCCTCGCAATATATGCATACGGATCCGCCGGCACAAAAGCATAGAAGAAGGATAAGTAGTTAGTCTCGCCAATGAGCATGCTCGTTGGTCTCGCAGAAACCAAATTATTAGCAAATATCTACTTGTTTAGGAAACTTTTGGATTGCCGAAGGTGTTAGGTGTCAGTATGGAGCCGTATACAATAGGTTTTCTCTGTGGCATATGGGGCGTTATTCTGTTTTTGGCAGATAAGTAAAGATTATTTTACAGTAGATATTCTAAGGTTACGTTTTATATTATACATTTGAATTATGGCATCTTGTATAAGTATAAGTATAAGTTTATTTCGACTCCATAATCAGCATAGCAATACATTTGACAGATAAAAACAAATAAATATAAAACCTGATTATGAAATCAGGGGAGCAAACAAAACCTTAGATAAGGTTTATAACGTACAAAATATAAGATGAAAGGTTTTGCCAAGAGGAAGTGGTACGTGTTTACTCACCTAAAATTATCAAGTTATTTCACACACGCTCACATGCACCCACCAGCCACACACACACACAACCACTGAGAAGTTATTTAAGTAAGAATGAAACGCGATAAATTTAGGGTATACTATACAGTAAACAAAAAAATAAATAAATAAATACTAGAAAAGAAAATTATCTGCCACACCATATTGATATTTTTGTAATGGTTGCCATTGCCAAATTGATCGATCTTCTAATCGTTAATTAGGTATATAAAAGGAAGATTCTATTGAAAACATATTGCCAAGCTGATTATAGTTGGAGTCAAATGCCAAGTTGCCCAACCAAAGTTGCCAGAATTGGGTGCATGAAGAGGTGGGCGAGACCATTTCATTCCCCAAATTAGAGCCTATTATTGCCAAATTATAGTCCAGATTGTAATAAGTAATTAAGTTACCGGTAACAGTAAAATTACTATAATTAAGTAAAGTAGGATGTGGAAATAAATTGGTTACAAAGGGTGTAAGTGAGGTTTTTCATTCTTGGGTATTGATTTCAGACAAGAATATGGGAATGAGGTTGTTATTTCACAGGATATCGGGAGTCTTTTTTTGTTTTTTTCCTTATGTGTTTTACTTCATTTAATCACTTTGAAGTAACCTGAAAAACAAAAAATAAAACTGCGAGTAGATGTTTCAATGATTGGGTGAAGGGGAACGTTCTGAACTATTTATTACAGGCAAAAAATAATTGTTTAATTAAATGGGATGTATTGTCATTATATAGCGATGGATAGATGATCTATGATGACATCTGCTTGGGACAGAGAAAAATTTATCACACCATGCAAAAAACACACAAAATTTTACCATCAATACCTTGGCCAACAAGTCAACTCAAACACCATGCCTTAACATAAAACGCATGCATACATAAATGATATAAAAACCACATCCAATTACAATGACCCACAGCAAATTAAAATCTGAAGGGGAGAATCCAACATAGCTCTACTGCTCGCCTAGTTGCAATAATTAGTAACCTTGCAGGAACAATATTGTACTATCTACAACCCTTATACCACCACTCAAACATAAGACCAAGCGTGTATGATAGGGACATCACAGCTAGAAAAAGATAAAAACACGAGCGTGAAGTGATAGAATGTGTGCAGTTATTTAAAGAAAATATCATCCGAGTACGTTAGCTACCTATATATTTAAAAAATATATATATATACTCATGCATGTCACAATACCATTTCTTTGGTGCTGGACTAGTTCTGGCCAAGTCGTGGCAAGATATTATTATAGTCGTGGCACAATATTATTATAGCTGTTCAACATTTTCATTAAAACAATAATGTGCAAGTGTGGAGTGTCCCAAGTTTTTGTCATCGAATACCACCAGTAGTAATTTTTAATATTTGGAAACTAAATGAGACTTGACTTGTTTTTGAAAAGATTTTTTGGACTTTAACGTCTTCAAATTTAAGGGAAGAGAATTCCAAAGTTTGGGTTTGATTCCGGGAGTGTTATGAAAGCACGACATGATAGGTATTGTCAAAGCGTATATATAATATTGTGGATTTAATACTGGTACCGGTACGGGGGTACCTAGTTTGCGAAAAACTGGAAACAATCAAACAACTGTGTAGTTCACAGTTGCCACTTGTCTTCTTGTGCTGTAGGCCTGCGACATCGTTTGTTCCTGGTAATATTTCTCGTACATGTACCGTACCGGTGGTTCACGTAACCGCTGGTCGGTTACGGCTTCCTCCACCACCAAGTCCATGCTTCCGAAAAACAAAACAATACAGTAAAACTAATCCCATACCCGACTTGGAATGCTAACCGGACGAGAGGCCGTGGTTCGCCATATGGCTAAGCCGTCTTATCGGCTTTCCTCTTCCCCGGGATAAATATGTAAATACACCATAATACAGTAATAACATATGATCTAATATCTTTAAAATAACAACTAAATTGTTTTACTTTATAAAGAAATCTAAAATTATACCTACCACTTAGCAGAAGTGGTCATAGTTTGGGTTATTTTTCAACAACATGCTGATCAAAGTGAAAACTTTAACTGGCAAGGAGATCGAAATTGATATTGAACCAACCGATAAAGTTGAAAGAATCAAAGAAAGAGTTGAAGAAAAAGAGGGGATACCACCACCCCAACAGCGTCTGATTTTCAGTGGTAAACAGATGAACGACGAGAAAACTGCTAGTGATTACAAAATTTCTGGTGGATCTGTATTGCATTTGGTTCTTGCTCTGAGAGGTGGTGTTTCTTTGTAGTTGAGGTCACTTCGGTTTTGGAAATACAAAAATCAACGTAAAATAAAACTGAACCATAATAATGACTGTATATTCGCTGCATATATTTAATAAAACTGGAGGTTGCTTATATGAAAAAGAATGGAAACGAAGTAAAAAGTCATCATTGCCCAAAGAGCAAGAGCTGAAATTAATGTTTGGGATGATTCATTCTATAAATTCATTCGTCTCAAAGATGTCACCAACAGATTTGTATCCTTTTCAAAATATTTTATTGAATTTCTAACGAGTTTTATTTCACTCAAATAATTGTGGGCAAATTATCAGCCCTTAAATCAATAGTACACAACCCGATGTGCCAGTGGTAGTAAGGAATTTTCTCAAATAATATCTGTCAGTAACATAAAGGAATATCTGTCATTACAAAATTGAACTTTCCATTACCAATGATAATTACTTACACTTCCAAGCTTCCGCAAGATGTACTTGTTACCATGCACTGAAGATGATTTATATGTATAAATATTTGTTTCTATGTGCCTTGCCCACTTCCATTATTGTATGCTTTGATCCAGGTCAGGTTCACTCACTCAGAAGTAAAGGGAACTTATCTCTGAGTGAAGTTGAAAAGGTGACAACTGAAATGCCTCTGAAACTATATAGAATTAGTTATGGTAAATACAATTGATGCGAGTAGGTTATATAGGAACGAGAGATATCACAAGAAAAGACATGGATTCCTGTATATACAGATTGAAACTAATTTCATTTTCATCATTCTTGTTCCTGTGCGAAACATCAGCAGGCGACATTAAAGCAGCGTGCTCTGCTCTGGAGATTAGCTCTGAGAACTATATGACCTCATATTAATGATAAAGTAGCAAGTATTCTAAAATTTTACATGAATTTGTGATGTTTCTTAACTAAAATTATAACAGCAAAGATGGGTTTCTGAGTTATACAACTAGTGCTTATAAACTTCATTACTATGAAACACCGACTGGATTGAAATTTGTCTTTGCTACTGATGTATCTGTTGGAAATACAAGAGAGATATTGAGAAAACTATACAGCAAGGTAGGATGAAAAATTTGTCATATCTGGAAGTCCCCATGGTTCACCTATGGGATTTTGATAATGATCTTTATTCTATGACCCACATCTTTATTCATAAAATAACAGAACTATTTTCACATTAAAATATGTGATCCATTCAATTAAAACTTATTTTTTTATTTATAATTTTTTTCTACAATGTGGATTATTTAATAAATAAAAAATAATAAATGAACAACAATAACCAGTTATGGTGACAGCACATTTGTACCCGTATATCCGTGGGTTCAATTTATATGCGGGTGCTGAAATCCATGGATTAGGGTTAGTATGGGTTCAAATATCCGTAGGTGCAAATTTTGATAGTTGCAATAACATGCAGGTGCAATTGTTGTGGGTATAAATTATGTGTTCAAATGTAATAGGACCACCAGGTATAAATAAATAAAACATTTTATCACAGTCCATTGATTGTATTGTCCATAGTATCCTGTTGATATATTCATCATGTAGTTTCCATAATCCATAGTGAATATACATTATCTATTTATTTTTAGTATTAACTATTTTAAAAGTATAAAAAAAATGACTATCTATTAGTTTTGATACTATATTATATCATAGTGTTAAAAATTCACAAGCTGTTATAAATTTTATCAAGTTCTCTTGTAAAACTTGGATGTTGCCTAAACTTCTCTATTCTTGCTATAAGGGACTGCTTAATTCTCATCACATTGATAACATTTGGATTAGCATTTTGAAAAATTACTGTATTCCTTTTCTCCTTCTGTATTCCTTTTGTGTCTCGCAGTGCAAAATAGTAATATTATAGCATTACGTTCAAGTCTGGACAATTGTGAATAACATTGATGAGATAAATCTAGTAAAATACAAGATATATAATTATCATTCAATACACAATGGTTGGTTTTTAATGCAACAGAAAAAATCGAATCATAAACATTTTGTGTAAAAGGACATTTCCAAAATAAATGAGAAGCAAACTCTGGTTCTTCTTATATACTATTTTAACATTAACAATTATTATATAGTGATTGTTTTACAGGTCTATGTGGAGTATGTTGTCAGAAATCCATTGATTGGCTTGGATGTTCCAATTGAAAGTTCACTATTTGACTGCAAATTGGAGGAATACTTGACTGAATATGAATTCTTTGCAGATCAAAATGTAAAGCAAGTTCCATGAGGGGTTTAAAGCATTGAACTATTTCTCCACATAAAACTTCAAATCATATAGCATTCATGCATTTTAGATGATTTGTGACTATTTAACATGGGAATAAAAGAAATAACGTATATATCAATTTTTCCGCAATGATTTCCAATGCAGTTTAATGCTTCTTTCAGCAAAGTGTCATTAGGACTTTAGTTGATATTGTAAATGACTAATTGTCAATGTTATCATAATTCTTAATAATATGGATTGGACTATGAAGTTATGTTTAATCCTGCTTTATAGTTTGTTACACCAACAAAAAAGTATCTCATTATATTATCATATGGGAAGAAACAATGGGTATTGAACTTGAATTTTCATCAACCAACCAAATGGAGTAAATTGTGAATGTTAGTGCTGAGTGAGTTATCGAGTTGGTACTTTTTGTGTATGTATATCTTATTGACATGATGATTATATCGAAGCTATCTTGACTTTTTGATTGACTTTTTATTAAGACTATATGATAACATGCATGTCCATTGATAGTTGGAAATGGTCGTTGTGTTTTGTCCTGTCCGGATATTAGGTGCATCTCCTATGTGTAAAGGACTTTCACAGGATAGAGGAAAGCCGATAAGACTGCATAATCATACCGTGAGTCGCGGACTCTTTATTAGTCCGTTTTCTGTATACTTGCGCCAATTGCATGGAGTTGAGGTGTAGGAAACCATCTGCTTCTAGTAACTGAATGGCCATCATATAGAGAGATACCGGTATTCCTCTTGCACAAAATATTTAGGAATTTGACAACGCGCGGCAATGCGATGGCAAGCTTGTACCTGACGCCTCGCCTTAGCGGCCAGCAGTCAAGGAGTGTATATAATATTCGGTTTTTCTTTCTGTGAGAGAGTTTATTTTGTTTCGTCCGCCAGAAAACCTATACAAAACAGAATATATATAATGGGAGGGAAAAGGGTATCAGCACAGCCTGGGTGGCAACCAGGGATGTAAGTTTCAGAATTTTCGATCGATTCGAATCAATAGTATTAATCCAGATAATATAAAACAATTGCATGACTCATTGGCGTTGTTGCAACACCGATCGAGGCGTCGTTCCCATTACTCTACTCTCTAAACTTTCCGAAATTGTGACAAATCTAGGTTTGTTGTAGATTGTTTATGAGTCACAGTCTGGAGGTACTTGTATATACTCACTCCGACTCGACAGTGTGGCGCATCGTGCAAAGCGTTAGGAATATGCTCGTCGCCGCCGTAGGGTGGTTCACGTAACCGCCGTGCTTCGCCATATGCATCCGTCTTATCGGCTCTCCTCCGCCCGCGATAAATATGTAAATCCTGACCTACCTACAGTTTCGCTCATTATTTCCGCTACTCACAATGTTTGGACTTTCAACTAATATGTTGTCATTATAAGCAATCGTTTGGGTACCAAATGATATCATTTTGCACATCATTACTCATCAAACATGAAACTGCGATGGTTCCTTCGAAGTCATTGGCACTTTTAGAATAATAAACGGCACAAGCGATACTGAAACACATTTATCTACCCTGTAGTCTACTATAACATGTAAAATAAAGGGTATTTGTATAAATGTTATAAGTCAATTTTAGAAGAGAATGAGACAATGCATCTGATTTTATTAGCAATCAAAAATATATGTGTCACGAATTTGTTACACGCCTGAGGTATTTGTTGAATTTAATTATCCAAGGAAAGTAATTTTTCAAAGGAAATTGTTCATTCTTTATTATTACTAAATCACAAAAGATTCCAAAGTTAAAAAAGTTTAAATAGAATAGGGTTGCCATACGCCATATTTTCCCTTGACATGTCCGGGATTTTAGTGGTCAAATTTGCGTCAGCGAGAAATGTTGAAAAGTGCCAGGGATTTTCGAATACAGTGAATCAAATCCTTGAGTTTTCAGATATTGCGCATCTACAAAATCCTTTTTCAGAGATATGTCACATTTTATCATTTTTCTGCAGCATATGGATTGCGTCGCATTCAGATAATTTTGATGTCACGACCTGAATTGCCAGCATTTTGTTCTCGGTATTTTGGTTGCACTACCAGTACCCAGGTACCTGTACTTTATTCCGTGCTAGGGTTTAGGGTAGGATTTACATATTTATCCCGGGAGAGAGGAAAGTCGATAAGATGGTTCAACCATATTGCGGGCCACGGCCTCTCGTCCGGTTACCATACCATGTCGGGTATGGGATTAGTTATTCGTTTTTCGGTAGCATGGACTTGATGGTGGAGAAAGCCGTAATCGACCAGCGTTTGCATTAACCACCCTACAGCGCCGAGGAGTCCAGCAATCCTCTTGCACATAACCATCCCGCATGGGATTCGAACCAACGCATAGTAATCAGAGGTGCAGTGGCGAGCGTATTTCTAACGCTTAGCACGATGAGCCACACCGCCGCGCTAGTGCTAATGATTAAGCAACAATTTTCCTCTTTTCATTTTTTTCTGTATTTATTCTATTCTCACGAGAAAGCGACGACAGCTTGTGCCTTTGGATACATGGCGAATTTACACCATAAAATAAGTGTTTTGGTTGCAAAATCGGTCAATGTGGCTCATTAAAATGTTGTCAGGGATTTTTTCGTTCCAGATATGGTTACCTCAAAATAGAATCAAATTAGGAAATATTCGAATCGGAACGTTCTGATTAGATTCGAAAAAAAATTCGAAACAGATCTCCAGGGCAAAAAAACAACAATTAGGTTATCGGAATCAGTCACCACCCAATATTATTAAAGTTGAAAAAAAAGGTTCAGATATGAATTTTGTGTGGTGCTTCGGCACACTTCAAAGAAATTTGATGTTCCAACCCCAACCTGAGTCATGCCAAAGGCAAAAAAAGGATACTTTTATCGATATGAAACAGAATATATATATGCAGGAAATCCCGAAGAATCGTCATGGCGATTCATAGACGCAAATTTATTTAGGTATTTATTTGCTTGATCAACTTATAAATACGACGTCGCTTGCGATTCTCTTTCTATTTGGACGCAACGATTGGACGTTAACGAACGCGTTATCGACACAAATCAAATGTTACCAAATGCATCGGTCTCGCGTCAAGTAGGCCTACAATAATAACATATGTCACGCGCAAGCTTATTCATCGTCTACCGACTTACTGTGATGACTGATTAATAAGGGAGGAGCATACACTTATTATGCAGGGTTCACAAAAAGTTTGTTTACAGTGCTACTTGCGGACAAGTCGGCAAAATCAAAGGAGTTTGCGATGCGACAAAGACAATGTCGGTCTCTCGTTTCTTATCCGTGCAATTTGTTGATACCATCACAGTTACTTCAGCGTAGTGCGGTGGTAAAGTAAAGTTACTTTCTAGAAGACATAGGCATACAATGAGCGACCGCTCCCGACGCTTCACAGGACCAAGATTGCCAAATGATGCCCAGCTGTGCAGGCAATTACAACGGTTTCGAATAAACTCACCCGAAACGCTAAGATTTCCTGGTTCTGGAAATACTACCAATGTGCCATTGCCCCCAACTCATGTTTACAGAGGACCGCGGAGTACTCGAGCTAGATTCTTTGAAGCTCCTAGCAACAGGTATGCACAGTATATAGATGTTGAATGTCTTAATAAATATATGTTTATTTTACAACCAACGTCCTCAACATGGTGTTTGAGGGATCTATGTCGTCACAGAAATGCTTAAACTTTATTGCCCCACGTGTTGCATTTTATTTTGACGTCACGAAAGGTGGTGTGTCACCGCCTAGCTAAGTAACATTCGATTACCCGCTAAGTTAGCGAAATTAGTAAGAACGGAAGTTTTGGTAACCGCAATATTTTAAGTCAAAACTTAGGTTAATAGCCTTTTGTCGGAATGATTACCGAATCCAATACTCGATTTGAATAGTGATTAGAATAGATACCGTGAATCTTATAAATAAAAGTACCGTATTTCCCGGCGAATAAGTCGCTTTTTTAGGACCCAAATTTTTGGCCTGATTTTTTTTTAAGGGGGGGGGGGGGTCTTATTTGGCGAGTATGATAATTTTCATTTTTTCGGAATGGGCATATTATTCAATTTGGACCTAAGATAAACAAAGAAGTGAATACGTGACCCAGATTTTCTCGATTGAAAAGCGGAATTATGAAATGCTAAAGAACGGAAAACACCATTTAAGTTTTATTTTAGGATGGCTCGTGACAGATTAAACATCATTTTTGACATTGCAAATAGCAAAAACATTTTGTGTTCTACAACTACCGACAGGGCCTGACCGACTATGATATATGTATAATAATTAGTGTAAAGTATATTTAATTGATTTTTTGAAATAAATTTTAGTCTGTGGGATATTATCGCCTACAACCCAACACAGCCAGATGGCATATACTCAGTATTATTCATGCCTAGTCCAACTCTAAAAGGTATTGATGGTGTTTTACAGTCAATGTTCCACAGTAATGTCGTATACCGTAAATGCTCGTTTTACCGCCCGATCTTGATTAAATATTGTTAGTGAATCTGTTATGAGATTGACAAAATTTGGTTTTTCTACCATACTGGATGTGAGAGATGACTTTATTAAGGGCCCGTTTGAATAGCCGCCCGTGTGATCAGAACATATAAATAAGGGGCCGGTGCTTGAATACCCGCCCGATGTAAAGAAACAGTGGTAGAAAACAATAGGAAATAAGAAGCGCTTTTGTCACAACGCTGTTGAATTTTTTAATTTTTTTTAGAAAATTGAAAAAGTCGCCGATAACGCGTACGATTGCCTTCCGCTAAAATCGCCGAATGTTTTCATCGTTGTGTCGTGTTATTTAGGCCGTAAACGCCTTTACGTTGACGTTTATTGTCTCCGAATCACAAATTTTCCACAAATTTGTACCACGATAACGATGACAATTATTTTATTTTGTTACTCGCACAGAATTGACGGAATTGTGCATCCAGTGAGACTTATTATACGTTCATCGGCGGCGAGATTCTAAAGACAAATTAATGAATAAATCCACGACCTAAATTGTTTGATTGAAAAGCGGCAATATAAATTACTGAAAACAAAACCGTAAACAAGTGTTGTTGAGGCCCGCGGCAGTCTAAAAACGCTTTTCTAGGCATTGAAAATCGCAAAATTTCGTCTGCGTACGGCACACATTATATTCGCTTATCGTCACTAGAATCAAAACACGGTAAATTGTGAGCGGGATTTACCTTGTTATCCATTACTTTTACTAAAACTGCCGTCGAAAATGTTCGTGTTAACATTGAACAAGGTCGAGAACGCGACTTTTCCCGGTTTGTGATGATGTATAAGATAATTAATCTATAAAGTACATTCGAACAAAATTTATTGTACTAAAATAAAATTTATCCGTGAGATTTTAAAGCAGAATTACGGATTTTTCGGAACGTTTTATTCTTAAAAATAATCGGAGTGGCAGCATTGCGATTGAAAGGAGTCAGTGTTACAACTTACAAGTACATCTCAAATTTGTGGAATTTGCAAAAAAAAGCAAAAATACGGATCAAAACAATATATAATCGGGCAGTTTACCACACATTTTTATGTCCGCGGAATGCTGGGGTGTTTTAGAGTGGCTCTTGTTTTGTCGACGCAACCACAGTTTAAATTGATGACAATTGAATTAATAAAGCAAGACATTTCAAATATGCCCGTACCTGTCATGGATTGATTACTTTGCACAACAGAAAATCCATTTTTCGTTGAAAAAGTCTGGCTCTTTTAAACAAGTGGTATTACCGCGGCGACTGTTTGACGTGGATTTCGAGGCGATGAAGGCGGGTGAATATGTATTTTTGATTTACTTATATAACCTACTTTATATGTATTTTCATTGTATGAAGTAAAATTGTACTATACGGATTTTATAACAGATATTAAGATTTTTCTATCGGCTATAACGAGTTCGCAAGATTGCAAAAATACGTATCAAAATTAAATACATCAGGCAGCTCATCTCATATTTTTATGTCCACAGATTGCCGTGATATTTTAGAGAAATAATGTTTTTATTTTGACGTAAGAAGTCGCAATCGCTAGTGGTTACGTTGGACACAATTAAATTAATATATAAGGACATTTTAGGATTTCGTAGTTGTCATGGATTAATAATTTGGGCAACAGAAAAATCATTACACGCTGAAAAGGCGGCTCTTTTAACGAGCACGTAATCGCCGTGACTGTTACACACAGTAATTGGAATTTCCGATTTTGAGAACTGGATACTTGAGAACTGGAAATAACAATATATCGCCGGATGAGAACAGAAGGGGCCTAAGTCACATTTTTGCAAAATTCACTTTTCTCGGTGCTCCTGAAGTATGCGAACCAAGATGGCGGACATCGGAACGTAACATGGGTAACAGGTTAGGGTTAGGCGATAATTTTTTTCCAATTTTCCTTATTTTAGTCCTATTATTAGTTCGAAGACTAGCCAAGAGCCTCCCGTAGTATTTATACCTAAAATTATGGCCTAACCTAGTACACATATTACATTCCGATGTCCGCCATCTTGGTTCGCATACTTCGGGAGCCCCTTTTTTCAATATTTTGGGGTTTTGAGCCATGCTCTACAAGGTGGTGGTGTTGAAATCCTGAATTTCTCAATAATAAAAATTTTAGCTGGACTTAGGACTGTAGAAGTTAAGAACAGAATGGGCCTAAGTCCAGCTAAAATTTTTAATATTATGAAATTCAGAATTTCAAGACCACCACCTTGTAGAGCATGGCTCAAAACCCCAAAATACTGAAAAAAGATAGTCCCAAGTTCCAATATGATGGGCATGAACATCAGAAATAAAATGTCCGAAACTTACATTCCTAAAAATTTCTCAAGTGCAAATTAGGCCTAAGTCACCTTGTTTTACCTTGCATCCCATACTAAAAAATTCAGAAGTTGTTGAGAACAGAATGGGCCAAAGTCTATTATGGGGTTAAAAAAGCAGGAAGGAATTGAAGCTGAAATGCCAAAAAATATTGATTACAAAGATATTCACATCCACATTGAAATAACCAGAGCTCAGGTCTTTACTAAGTGTGAATATCTAGATATTCAAAAATAAATAAATTCCAAATTGTTTTTTGCGTTTTTCTCAAAACTCAAAATTGTGACTTAGGCCTGTTCTGTTCTCATCCGGCGATTTATATTAATTATTGTAACGATCGAAAATAACAAGCGCCGTGCTTGAATAAGGGCCGGTTTGAATAAGGACCCGTTAGTGAGTTGGTTGAAAAAAATATGGGCCCGGGCTACAAAACGAACAAATACGGTATTTCACGAAAAAGAGACTCCAGCCGTGACGTAAAGTGCGAATCGTATAAATAGCGTTGATTTCAAAATCGCCAATCAGATGTGTGAAATTGTTGACGTGACTAAAACATTAACTCCTTTATAACGACCTATTATTGGTTTAGCATGTATTTTCAGTCATACATATCATCCCTGGCGCTGTGATGTATTGATAAATATGATTTCGACTGCACCATACTTGGCAGAGGTATCGAGATTTTTTAAACGTGAAAGAAAGGTAAAATTAATGGTAATTTTCACACGTAACGGCGCGCATTAGAATGTTTATGTCTTTCTACGCGCATTTCCGTCGGAAAAAGTAACATTTTTTGCAGTGAGGCAGTAATGATTTGCAGTAATGATTAGAGGTGTGACGTCATCAAAATTGTCAATTGAAGCCTTGAACTTGAAAATTCTGTAAATACAATCGTGAATTTTAGAGTAACCATTCTTGCTATAATAGTGTTTTGGTGTTGTTACGTTGAAATAAAAATTAATTAATTAGGAATAATTATTAACTCTCTACTAGACACAGAATCTCGCAAGTTCAATAGAAATTTTGGAATTTTGGCGTAGAAAATTTTTTTTTAGAGTGCCTTTTACGTATATTGCTGAATAGAACTCTAGAGTCTAGCACACGCTATTAAAAAGCCATGAGTGAAACTTTAGGACTTTAATGATTGACAAAAAAATAACCCATGTAAAATGGCACCAGACCGACCGGTTGGGTAGGGATAAATATTAGGTTTTTTTTCTTATACGTTGATATCCTTGAAATAATGAGTGACAACATTGCGAAGGAGCGGAATAGGTGTTGCAGCAACAGCTCAGCTATATTTTTTAATTTGCAAAGAAAAACGAATCAAAACAACATATAATCGTACACGTTTATGTCCACAATTTGCGTTGGTATTTTGGAGCAGGGATACTATTTATATTGTCGCAATCGCAGATTGAATTGATCACTATTAAATTAATGAAGCAACACATTTCCTTTCTGGAGATTTCGAGATGATGAATATGTATGTTTGATATATATATATATATATATACACTTTATATGTATATTTATTTTCCTTGATTTAAATTGTATACTTTCCGGGATTTTATAGCATATCTTAGGATTTTTATAATGGCGATAACGAATTCGCAAGTAGGGATTTGTTCAAAAAGAAATGTTTTAAAACAATTGTTTTAAATTCGAGTTTTGTTTGCCTGTTTTGTTCAAAATGGCTGTACTATTTGATTTTTTTGTATTCAATAGGTTGAAGAAAAAAGGATGTAAAATATTGCCAAGCGCTTCTTATTTGCCACAAATATCGATAGAGTCTCATGCACACCTTCTCAAGAGTTGTTCAGTGGTTGGCGCAGTAAGACGCAGAACGACCCTGCTGCGATCAAACCACCTTGCGAAAATTAAAATGCGATCGAATAAATTTGTTTGTATAACTTCGAAAAGCTCTATCACCTCAACCTTAAAAACAAAGTATGCTAAGCATAAATTAACCGAACAGTATTAACCATATTTATGCCTTCATTTTATGGAAAAAGTGTCAATATGTCAATTTTTCTTACTCAAAACATCACTCTGATATCTCGGCTAAACATTCCGGGTAAAATCTTATGACTTTGGTGTAGATACAAACGTGGCGATGATTGTACGCAAAAGAAGTAAAAGTCAAAATAAAAAAATTTTACTCATATTTTTGAAATTATAATTCTGGCTGCATGTGCAGTTATGGCGTAGTTTCGCGGCGATGCAAGGGGTATTTCAATAAAAAATACAAAAAATACAGAAAAAATTTGAATTAAAAAAATCCCTTGTTTTTTTAGAATTGATAAAAAACAAAACCCTATTCGCAAGAGCGCAAAAATATGTATCGAAACTAAATATATTCAGGCAGTTTATCTCACATTATTATGTCCACAGATTGCCGTGTTAGTCGAGCACAATTAAATTAAAATTGAAAGACAGATTGAATTCCCGTAGTTGTCTTGGATTGAATATTACGCTACAAGAAAATGTCATTATGGGTTATTTCAACGAATGCGCAAACACCTCGACCGCCCAGAAGCCGCTGCAAGGTAATTTGAGATTCCGATTTTACTGCCGTATTATTGGGAGGTTATATGCAAAAACCCATTTTTTCAGGCTTAAAAGCGGGTCTCGTCTTATTTACCGGGTAGATTTATTCGCCAGGAAATACGGTTATTATTTCAATGAGCAAATGTCTTTTAGTTGGTGTCCACAGAACCTGACTATCTTTTTGTAGTACCTTATAAGCCATTTTAATGCAATATGTTTAATCTGACTTGTATTTATAGACCTATATTTATGATTCCACCTCAATCCTTATACACTAGTGTAGTAAGTTACGCATGGGAAGATTCCAGTTCTTCCGAGAACAGTAGCTCCTTTAATATAAATAGAGGGTTTACAGAACACCAAGAAAAACAGGGTATTCAACAAGATCCAATATATATACTACAGAACTGACTGACTGGTATTTGAATCGAAAGTTAATGGAATTTCCGAATATCGGTATTAGCAAATCTTGGCGATATCGACCAGAAAAGAAATATGATATCGGTTTACAATTAATATTTTTTATATGTCTATTTCACAGCTCTTTAAATCGCTTTGGCAATTCAGCAAGATGGAGAAATTTCGGAATGAGAATGGCGGCCTCTGTCCATTCACTCCCACAGACCCAGCAATTGTATCAAAATAGACATCGATTTCATTCTGACAGGAACTTGTCATCCAGCAGTTCTCAAGTGCATCGTTTGGGATATGCAGAATTTGCGGTAGGGACTTATTAGTATTATGGCAATTAGTTTTCGTGAATTGTTCTCGAATAGAAAAATATAGTGATGGAAGGGCGTGTGAGTTGGTGTATCACTTCAAATGCTAGAAAATCTAAAAAGGTAGGTTGTGAATTTCGGGGGCTAATGGCTACACCTACGGTCGGTCATGGGAATAGTTAACAAGTTATTTGTTCCACATGCATGGGTTGAGTCCAGAAATTCTCCCGCGCCGAATTACCTGTCCTCACGGGATGCGAATCCGCGAAGGGTAATATGCGAGGGCACGCGTGTTCCCATCACTTGTTGGCATGATGCGCAGCACTTCCGACACATGTCACATATTACTATGTATGCGTATGGAATGAAGCTCGGTGCCAGCGAGAGAATATTTGTTTGATAACAATTGCGCGCTTAATATATATATATATTGGGGTTGTCCAAAATGAATCAAATATTCGAATGTATTCAAACAATAATTCCGAATGATAGCCACTTTTCGCCGTAAACACAGTGTTCCGTTTTCGCGGGAATCTTCAAAAGAGTTGCGCTTTGTCACGTATTATAATGTCGGGGAAATGGACTCGGAACTTTGATTGTTTATATTCTGTGCGAGCGTGCGTTGCATATTTTTGCGGCACCTTTGCACGGTTGCCTGTTGGAAATTGCCGCCATACCCATACAAGACTTCTAATTTACACATTCATTCCCATTGCGTCGAAAAATTGAAAACAAATTAAAGCCGCCGTAATTGTTACGATACCCAATAAATTGTCGAAAGTTGAAAAAACAAGTCGATTTATTAGAAAAAATATTTAATACTTTTCCCGCTTTTTGGCAAATAATTTTGACGATGATAGTTTCGACTTTTTACTAGGATGATTTCCTGGTGTGCAAAATATTCAAATCCATGACCGATATCATCATTCAAAATTATTATGCCCTATTAATTTAATTTTGTTCAACGTAACTCATGGTTGCGTCGACAATCTGTGGAAAATAAAATAAAATGTGTAGTAAACTACACGATATTATTAATTTTTGATTTCTATTTTCGTATTTACAAAATAATAAAAGTAATAATACTCTAAAATAATACGGGAATTTGTGAAAAACTGCCAGATTTACCAACATTTGCGCAGCACAAAATCATGCTAGTAAAAAGCCCATTATCCAAATTATTTGCCAAAAAGCGTGATAAGGTAGGGTTACCATATTTTTGTGACTTCAAAGCGGGACGCCTCCAAAGACAACGACCCCTTAGCTGTTATTTTGCTACTTTACATTTTCCGATTTTACTACATAGGGTTACTTTTTAAACCATCCCGACTGTCTTCATTGGCCATATTGTCATCGAGAGTTCATGCGCATATTCTCTGTCCAAATATCGGGTTCAGTTCGAATAATAGAAGGAATTGACGTTAACGATACAAATAATTCGAATTTCGATTTTTTTATGTACAGCAAAAGGAAGAAAGAATAATAAAATAGCCTGGCGTTTTCAAGCATTGAGAATTTATTTATTCGCCCAATCACGCTTTTATGTAGATAACACCTTCTTCAAAAAGACGTTGTTCAATGTTACATGTGATACGTTCGCTAACAATGTTAGCGGGAAACAACGAAACAAATAACAAAATAACGCATTCGCTTCCAGCAAGTAGGCTAGCGCTGCGCTACACAGCAAAAACAGTAACGAGAACATGTTAATTGGTAATGTTCGTGTATCATGCTGAATGGCTGAACGTCAAAGCGGGATGTTTGGCTGACTTGTCGGGACGGCGGGACAAGACGCTAAAAAGCGGGACTGTCCCGCCCAAAGCGGGACGTATGGTAAGCCTAGTGACAATTTTTTCGCGAGTACGAAAATACGAATCAAAAATTAATTTTATTCGGGCACAATACCACGGCAATCTGTGGATATAAATTGTGTGGTAAACTGCGCGGTTATTATTAATTTTTGATTCCTATTTTCGTATTAACAAAATACAACGGCGATCTGTGGACTTAATATGTGTGGTGAATTGCCCGATTATAATTAAGTTTTGATTCGCATTTTCGTACCTACTAAAACATGAAAAGCAATAGCCTACCACTCTAAAATATCACGGCAATCTGCGGACATAAAATGTCTGGTAAAGAGCCAGGTTGTAGATAACAGTTATTCCATTGTTTGTTGTATGCAAATCCCTTCATACACTAAGTTAAGCTTCCATTACTTGATTTTATTTTCGAATGTTATGTATATAGTGAACTATTGGTATTGGCCATCCCTGAATTATTTTCCTGTTTGTTGCAATTATGAGTTACTATACTTTTATGATAGTATCCAATAACTTTTTCTATGAAATTATGTTTCAACAGACGACATCAGGGTATTGTGGTTATGGGAATCCTCCCATGTGGTGTGCTTTTTGTAAAAGTAACAAAGAACCACGACATGTCTATTCATCTCATTGGCTAAAGGATGCAAATGGGAAAATCGCTTGTCCTATTCTCAGAAGGTACTCATTTTTGTGAATATTTAGTTATGCTCGTTAATTGTGATCGTTAATGTATACGCTATGCCTTTTAAAAATTCTAAACATGTAGGCCCAAAGAATAAAAGCAAATGGTCAACTCTTCTCCTTCATCTCTGCTTGAATTTCCTTCGAAATAGTAAAAAATCACTCATGTTCGCTCACGTCTGTACAACAAATGAATAAACGGCAGCTCGCGAAATTGCCGGAAGTTGCGTCAACCGCTATTGTTACGTAACAAGGTAGACACTACGTTCCAGAAAGTAAACATGCTAAGCATTAGGAATACGCTTGCTATCGCATAATCATGTATGTGAGGATTCCTACCCTAGGATGGTTCGCTTAACCTCTGGCCGATCACGGCCTCCTCCACCTTGGCTATAAGATTAGGTCTTTCCCCCGGGATAAATATGAAAATCCTAAAACATGAAAGGCCACACGTCTGATTAATCAACCGAATACTCCCATTCCTTACTAAGAGGCGTTGGTTCGTCATATCATTGAGAATACAAGCAAAAATCCTATTTCAAGCATTTTATACTTGTTATTAGGTACAGATGCAAGCATTGTGGTGCAACAGGAGATAAAGCACACACAGACTCGTACTGCCCAACAATCGCACAAGACAAAAGGAGCATGAAGTCGGTCCTAACGACGTTGAAGACATCATCGGGAAAATACCGCAAATAAGACTACGACATCTTTAGCATTTTTCACATATATTTTACTTTGAACTCTCCCCGCATTACCACGGCCAGTTGTGTCTAAAAACAAAAAGGCCTCACTCTCGTGTTCGATATCTCCACCAATCACAACAGTCCATCTACTAATCGCGTACCCCGACCAAAGGCCGGGGTTCATCACTCAATCAAGTCGTCTAATCGGGTTTCCTCTTCCCTGGATAAATATGTAAATCCTATTCTACCAGAATGATCCAAATGATAGCCGCTCTAATTTACCAGATGTTGTCAAGCAAAGGGTAAATCAAATTGTTAATGGTATTAGTATTACCTACAATAACTTTTTTAACTAACATTTTTCAAGTGTCTGTCTATCTTTAATTTAACTTACTATAGTCAAATTTCACTTTTCGTTCATTATATTCTGTGCATTTCTGAGTATATTCAATCATTCACTGCATATCTTCAAAAGCGAAGCATTAAAAAATTTGCTTAATTAATGATTTTCAATTCTAACATTTCTGTAACTCTTCACATTTGCAAATTGAATACATCAACACTTAAAAGGGCAAGAATGTTCCTGTGGAAGCTATTTTACACATTACCAGGTTATTCCACCTGACCTAGGTGTAAAAGAAAAAATAGAAATGCACATTTGGAAAGAAGCATCGACTGGTAACTGAAATATAACCTCGCTTCCAACTTAGGTAGCAGCAAACATGAAATGTTGTTTCCCTAAACAGTCAAGTAAAACATAACATGATTGGTCAAACAATGAAAGTAGTAAACAATGCTGACTGGTACAATGAGGAGGAATCTTGAATGGCAAAATGAATACAGGAACCCCATATGGGAGAGAATACATAAAACGAACAGATACTATGAATCGCCATATAAAATCTCAACATTTGCAGGCAAATTATTGTTACAAGAGTGGTAATTTACTTTAAGCCATGTTGATACAGTAATGAAGTCGTTCAGACAGGACATATTTAGTGATTAGTTGTGGAGAGCCTCGCCCAATGGCGAAAAATGAAATTATTTCTTAACCATCAAATCTGTTCGGATTCTGCAAAGAGGGACACAACAAATGACAACTTTCGAGGAAACCAAATGAACTAGTAAAAATAAACAGTATTCATTTCATTGGGCCTTTTTCTTTTGTGATAGGGACCGATGTAGCTCCATGACCTTTATTTCAAAGCTATCCATGAGTTGGCCATTCTCATCAAAATATTCTCCAGCAGATTTTGTCAGTTCTGCTTTTCGCTCTTCACCTTGTGGGTCTTTAACGACTATTTGCAGTGTGTAGTTTTCATCATACCTGTTATTTACATATCTCATGTAGTTTAATCAAGAAATTCTGATATCATAATTGTATTATACACAATGATGGTTTTTAACTGAGCAACACTAATGCTTACTCGAAATAGTTTTTATATTATAATGAGTTGATTAGTAATCAGCGGAAAAAATTGACAACATCCATTTGCACTTTTCATCACCTTTCCCAAAAAGGGCCACATATCTATCAAAAAATTTGAGATAAAATTGTAATCTAACTTTATGAGAACTGTACTCGAACCTACATATTCAGAATAGACAGGAAATTAACACAACAAGAACATACAAATGTACACTAGAATGGAATATTTGGTTCTGAGATTCACTTCACTTGTTCCTACAATACAGATGTCCATCAGTTATATCTTGCAATGTATATAAATAAATACTACTCACTTCGGCATTGTCGATGATAGAGTCCAGACAATGTCTGGATCTACACCTGCTATATCCTTCTCTCTTGCAAGCAAAAATACATTCTTCTCAACAAAGTTGGCATAAGCTGTTAAGACTCCCATAAGGACGAAATATGAGACCTAAAATGTGTCAAGTGAAAACTGACATATAATGTATCAAAACTTCTATTATTATAGAGAGAAATGACCAAATGGCAGCAATATTTTAGAAAAACAATAAATAAATTATATATACTCTGAAATTCCAGAAAACGAGTCTAAGAATTTACCAATATTATAAGCTTTCAAACAGAAATATTCCTCTTACTTCTGGTATTGTCCATATCCATAAATTCAGGATCTTAATATTCTATTTTGCTATTAATTCATTTAGAATTGGACATGACTCACTGATTTACCAATTTAAAAAAAAAAAAAATTCAGAATTCTTAAAATAAATCTTTTTGGAATAAGTTAATTTCAAATTTTGTATGAACCAAATTATCAGAATATCCCCAACTGTTTCTTTCGAGTACCTAAGGCTTAATAAAAACGTGCTTACCACACAGAGTATAATAACAGGCCTTGATGCTGGGAAAGGATGAAGATAATCCCAAAGTAAGGCAAATAATGCAAATAAAACAGCAGTTGTACATATTGCCAGGCGAGTATCAATTAACTTGAAGTCTTCTTGATAACCAAGGTTGTCGAGGATTATCTGAATGCAAAATACTAATTACTAGTTCATTTTAAGGAGTTTAGATATTTGAGAGCATTGGTGATTAGAAAAAAATGTTCGCGTGGTAGACTACCGTGGTACACTTAAATTGGAATATATGAAATGTACAGGCCTCACAATTTTCTTAAAAACATGGCTGGAAGCTTGGAAATATAAATCTGAAACAATTAATTGTTTCATTATAAGATTTTAAGATATAGATAGTCAAACTGGAAGAATTAATTTCGGAAGAGAACAAACCTTTTTAGCAGCATCATCCAATGCAATTCTCACTGCATTATGGTCCCACTTTTCCACCTTGAATGGTTTTTCCTCCTATGAATATATGAATAATAAAAAGTGAGCATGTCATAATTTATACATTGTAGAATGTCAGTCAAACGTTGTCGTCGTCGTGAGAATGTAGTAAGGAAAAAAATTTTGCAAAATTTCATGCATGATCTCTGTGCAGCTGTATGCTGATTCCACGTTAACATCCATGTGATATTACAAAAACCTTGAATTGACTAACCGGGTAACGTAAATATATGATTTTATGTAGTCTACCCAAGTGTTAGAAATCAGATAGAACAATTTATCGATTGATAAATTGAGTTCTTTCGATTCAATCTTACACATTTTGGGAAAATATCGAACCCAAAATTCTGCGAGTAATTATCCAAACAACACCGTCCTGCGCAGATTCCTATGCAAGAATATGTTTAGTAGGATTTAGGATAGGATTTACATATTTATCCCGGGGAGAGGAAAGCCGATAAGACGGCTTATCCATATGGCGAACCACGGCCTCTCGTCTGGTTACCATTCCAAGTCGGGTATGGGATTAGTTATATTGTTTGTTTTCGGAAGCATGGACTTGGTGGTGGAGGAAGCCGTAACCGACCAGCGGTTACGTGAACCACCCAACGACGGCGAGGAGTCCAGAAATCCTCTCGCACATAACTATCCCTACATGGGATTCGAACCTGCGAACCCACGCAGAGTAATTAGAGGTGCGGTGGCGAGCGTATTCCTAACGCTTAGCCCGTCTACAGGGGTGGTGACTCCTCTACAGCCCATGGGCCGGGGCCACGGCCCATCTAATTGGGCTACATGGGCCGTGGCCCATCAAGCTATGGGCCGCGGTCCATCAGAAAAAATTCAATTATCTTACCAAAATTTACAATTATATTCGAACCAAAAAAAAATCGCGGGATGCCAGTATGCCACCAAACCTTTTTCTCACAATAAGCCTTTACATAAAAATAAAGCAAAATACCAAGCTACAGAAAAGGATACACCTGAAGTTTGTGTACCAGGTTAGGGTTAGGACAAAATTTTGTTCAGATTTTTCACATTATAGGCCTAGTTCTATTATGAGTTCGGGGAGTGGGTAGGATTTACATATTTATTAGTCTTTATTATTTTATCCCTTTACAAAAATTAATGGGCCGAGGCCGATGGGCCGTGGCCCCGGCCCATGGGCCGTAGAGGAGTCACCACTTCCACTCTAGCCCGTTGAGCCACACCGCCACGCCATACTGCCATACGATACCGGTACTGTACCATACCCATCATAATCACCCACCTGCTTGCTATCGTCGTTAGCCATTATTTCTTCAGACTATCGATACGCTGCTACAATAGAATTTTCAAAATCAGGACGAGAGAACGGGAGGAACTTTCTAAAGAGTATGGTAGTCTACTTGCTACAAAACAATTAAATGCACAAACATATGTCGCCGTCAGACTCCCACACCATTCATGCGTGACAGGCACGTGTCCTAAGTTCATATCCATACTCCGTGATTGATTGAACCCGAGACATATATTTATTGGATTGAAAAAGGCGAAAAAACGCACAAAAAATAGAGGGAGGTGCATTTGCTTCGAGTCACAAACAAGGGTGCAAGTTTCAAACAAACATTTTGAGTAGGTTTTCGTATCAGAACGATTTTCTATTTTCATTAATTTTACAAATACTTAAATTTGGGAGACTCATACTATAGAGGGTCAACATAGAGATACCACCTCTGTGTGACGTCATAGTTCCGCATGAGTAAAGAGGTATGACCTTCTCAGCGCTTAACTTTGCCGCCAAATATTTTGACCGAAGGTTTTTTGTTGCCCCAAGCTGCGGGCATTTTTAAGTTATTTTGTAACGCTTCGTATATATATATATATGAGTAGATTAGCTATAAAAATCACGCTAGCTTTCGTTTCGATATTTATGTCACAGACTGTGAACTTGACCTAACACGGTGCGATAACCTGGCACCGGTACGGTAACTGCTGAACTGACAGCAGTAGCAATAATATTATTCAGATATTGCTATTTCATTTTCGGTAATTTTGCTTTCAGGCCCGTACCACAGTATTGTAGACAACTTAGCTCTAATCTATCTACCGGTACATATAGTTCTAATCGTAGGTGCCGTACTTGCACAGGAATCCTTTATTTCAACTTATGTGAAGAGGGAACACAGTTTGGAGAAGCAAACCAAGTATTTGTGGTATCGATACGTGAGTATTGTTATATATATATATTAAGTGATTTAAATATTTTTTACTATGCCAGCTGGAACGCATTGTGCAGTGCCGGGATGCAGCTACTCCTATGTCAAGTCTAGGAAAGCAGGACAGTCTGTAAAAACACTATTTTCTGTTCTTCGGCCCGATCTGGCAAAGACTCCTCAGGAAAGGAAACACCGGGAGGGGTTGTCCAATTTTTTATTGGCGATGAGAGACAGTAGCAGAGGAGATAACATCAAGGCTATGCTGCACAAAGAAACGTAATGTACTTATCTAGGCATATTAAACATATAAACAAATTTATACAGCCTATAATAGTATAATTGAGTAATTGCGTTCAAAAATTCTGCTGTGTGGATTATCAGAAACCCGGAATATTTGTTAATTTTTCTTATCGTATATTTATCGTTATAATTTGCTAAGCCTACCAAGCCATCTAATTTGTTTTGCATTTAATTCAAATTTTGCACAAAATGACCATAGCTAGCTTTTGACATCTTCATATTGTTATACCAATATACTTTACCTTTTTATATTTAGGGCCTCAATATGTGAAGACCATTTCCTGGAACCGATATACTTCGGCATGGGAAAAAAGCTCTTTAAGACTCGGAGCAGTTCCATGCAGAAAAATTCCCAGGAGTTTCAGCTGTGTACCAGGAAAAAACAAGACCTCTCCCAGCTGTGCGTGAACCACTGCCGGAAAAAATTCGATATCGATCTACTAGGGAGTTTGGTCAGTGCCACTTCATACTTGTCGCAATCTATGAAAGGTATGCATCTGTTAGAAATTTTTTTTGCTTGTTTAGCAAAATTTTGATTGAACTTTTTATACAGATAAGTGGGCTTTGTATGAGCACCGAGGAAAATTTATTGCAGAGATGAGAAAGGATGATTACTGCGTGCCTAGTATAAGGTAGTTGTTTTTAAACAGAAGTTATCAATTATAGTTTGGTTTTCAACTTGCAGAGAATAGGATAACATTTTAGTTTTCAATTATTTTGTTGCTGTGTCATTTGAGTAGTAATTGAGTTTGACAGCATGAATTGTAAGTTCAGCAGTTTTTCATTGTAGCGCAAGTTTGTCGTTAGGGAATATTTTTAGATGGCAGAATATTAAAACTCATACTAGGAGGCTACAGGATTGTACAGAGTAAATAGCTAAGATAAATTGCAAATACCAAATCACAAATATACCCATGAGCCATATGACATACCAAATTGTATCTAACAACTTATCAATCTAAAACAAACTGAAATAATTTTACACAATGATGAAAAAAGAGTTGAGTATGGAGAAGATGGTGCAATGCAAAGTGCTCATTTTTCTGGCTGGAAAGTCGAGATTGCAAAGCTAGGAGTTGACAGATGTGATACTCTGAATTCTGTTTTAGGTATACATTTTCTTTTGACAAGTTCACCTTTGTTTTATTCTGTAACTCAAATTTGTGTTATCCATTTAGGACAAATTAGGCAAATTGGAGTTGTGTTGCGGTATTGATCGGCGGGATGGCAGTACATTGGTTCACCCAGTTTTGTCGTGGGGAGGTGACAAGATTAATATCAAAAATATATATCGGTCAACATCATGTAGCACAATTGGTATGTTAGTAAAAAATCGCTGTTCGACTGTCTCGAGAGCATATATATGATTGCAGGATATTTTTAGTGGATGTGTCAATTGGATGCCCAATGTGCAGCAGCTGCATGTCAGAACAGTTCAAAAATGACGAGGAAGAACACCATCCAAGCCAGGTCATGTTGCAAGTTGATGATACTGTGCATGATATGATCAAGGTCATGTTTACTTTTTGTTTTATTTCACGATCAAATAATTTTTAATGTACTAGACTCAAGAGATTAATTGTATGACTGACTTGTGAATATTTTCACAGGCCACTTTCGCTTCTGAAAGTTCCATCTTGAATACTTGGCAGCAAATGTTTTTTGGTCAGCAGCTTGCCAACTCCAATGCTCACCCCTCTTCACGTCGGTACCATCCAGATGTGATTCGTTGGGCTATGGAACTCTATTGCAGATCGCCTTCTGCCTATGATCATCTGCGAACAAGTCAGGTGCTGACTCTGCCTTCCCCAAGCACTTTGAATCGCTACAGGTAAATGTAATGCTTCTGACAATTGTTGGGGTGTACTATGGTGAATTTAAATTAACTTTGATAACCATTTGGCCATGTTGTTTTCTTTCAGTCTATTTAAAAAAAATATTTGTCTATTATCTGTCTACTTATTATATCATACATTGGTCAGTGACTCGCGATTGCTGATTTATTTTTTATTTTTGCAGAAATGTCATTCCACCACAATCTGGGATTAACAAACTGGCATTGAAAGAAATGGAGAGAGTCATCAAAGACAAGGGTTCATTGATTGGATTTGTTGCTCTCGATGAGATGAAGGGTAAGCTCACTTTAATTTTTATTTACAATCTTACATCATTGTCATATATATGAATCTCTGATACAGTTAGAGAAAATCTGGTCTGTCGTAACGGCAAATTGATTGGTTTCGTGGACAAAGAAATGGCAAGGAATGGCAATAATGACCAGCTTGCTTCACACATTTTAGGTAAGTTGTTACTGGGGTTTTACTACGGTAGACTTTTTATGTAACGCAGTATTAATGTTCTACATGTTTCTTCAGTATTCTACGTTAGAACCGTGAAGCGAGATCTGTCGATTCCTTTGGCGTGGTATGCAACCCGTAACTCCCCAGCCTCCAAGCATTGTCGGGTGTTTTGGGAACTTTTAATTGAATGTGAGAGCCGAAGCGTAAAGATCCTTGCTGTAATCGCAGATGGTCACAGTACCAACCGTCGCTTTTTCCAACTTTTAAGTGGCAACTTGGAATTGCCTTGTGATGGTGTATTGTTTGCTCCTAATATATGCGACTCTGACAGGAACATATACCTATGTTCTGATCCATCACATTTGATCAAGGTAATAAAAGAAATGGGCAAATGGCATTGTATAATGTTTACCATGATGCGTTAATTTTCAACAGTCTTTTTTTCATTTGTTCAGACTGTTCGAAACTCGTTATATGCATCAAAAGTTGGTGGGAAGAAGCATATGCGCCGAGGTGGCCAGGACATTGTGTGGAGGCATATTAAAGATCTTTATATGCAGGAATCTGTTCAGGTCCTTGGCCGTACCAGACTGAGTCCATCACATGTAGAGTTAACACCATATAGTAAGGTAAGCTAATAGTCTAATTGTGTTGGTTTGGCCGCACGACACGCTGATGAAATCCCTGAAATGGACTTATTTCAACTAAAATTTTTGATTCGCTGCCAATGCCCTTGACTGTGGTAACAGGATTTTCAATAACTAATTTTTTTAATACAGAGTGATTTGGGAAAATCTTTTTTATTCTCAGATGAAAGTCAATCTTGCAACTGATGTGCTGAGCTGGAACGTCGGTCAATGTTTTAAAAACAATGAATGGGACGAATGGAACTGCCAAATTTGTTTGATGTTTGCAAAGTAAGTCGGTCATTTTTTAAAAGAAAAAAAATTCCCTATTTTTGTGTCAGTTATGCATGTATCGTCCATTCAGATGGTATGAAATTGTCAACTGTTCCTGTAATTGCCCCATACGATGCGTCGACGATGATAGACTGTCTTGGTTGAAGAATGACTTCATAGGTTCACTGTTGGAGTGGGAAGTGAGTTGTATTTTTTGTATGGTTTTATTCAATATGATCACAATCTCTAAAAAGATCTACAACCATAGCATTTGAAGATTATATTATATTACTATGCCATAACATTGGAAATAAGAGATGTCATTTTGGGGTTGGCTATTGTTATTTTCATGCATTATTTATTCTTGAAAACAATTATAGAATGAGCATGGTGGAGATGAAAAGAGTTTTCTGGCTCGCCCAACCTTAGAGGGACTGAAATTCACCACACACAATTTCATAGAGATGTGCAAATACCTTCTGGCAAATGGTTTGGAATATGTGTCTTTGCACTGCTTTAATCAGGATGTTTTGGAAGCTTTCTTCGGAAATTTGGTGAGATTTTTGGGGGGCTGAACTGTATGGGTATCTATCTAGCCATGTATATATCTAATCCGCAGCATCACATTCATAGAGACAACTTGGATCTAGATCAAGCAATCCAGACATATCTCAAGTATCCTATGGAATAACCCAAATTTCGCAAAGAAAGATCATCAAGAAGGTCAAAGGTGGTAATACAACCTATGGGAAAGCGA